TAAAATTACATTAAATTGACTTTTTAAAATGTAGATGTTCCAAAGGCGCGCATCAGTGACTTGTATGCGTGGATGCCTGGAGATGCTAAACGTGTTTATGTTAATAAACGATAAATTACCTTGAGACCGGCAGGATTTTGCATGACAATAACCGGCTGACAAAATGTCATGACCACCAGCGGCCCTAATTTGGTCAAACACATTTTTTCCAAAAGTTTGCTAAGAGCTGGCACCGAGCTGATAGGTCGGCTGCTAGAACCAGTAAAGGATGCTTTACCATTATTGGGTAGCGGAATGACTTTGGCTTCCCTCCTGGCCTGAGGACAAATACTTTTCTCCAGGCTCAGATTAAAGATATGACAGATAGGAGTGGCTATAGAGTCAGCTACCATCCTCAGTATCTTTCAATCTAAGTTGTCAATGCCAGGAGGTTGTTGATCGATAAGAATAATTTTCCCACCTCTGCCAAACGAACTTTACAAAATTCAAACTTACAATGCTTTTCTTTTATTATAATAATTGTTTTATGTATGAATACGATGGCTCACTATTTGTTGTTGGCATAAGTTTGCCCACTTTGCCAGTGAGGTAATCATTAAAATAATTGCTAACATCAAATGGTTTTGTGATGAATAAGGCATCTGATTCGGTGAAAGATGGAGTTGAATTTGTCTTTCTGCCCATAATTTCATTGAAAGTACTTCATTGATCTTGGCTTCATAATATAGTTTATTATTTTTGTTGAGTTTAGTCACATCATTTCTCAATTTGCAGTAAATCAGCCAGCCAGTCACACTTATTAGCCACTCCTTTTGCCCCAGTTGTATTTTTAATTGGTATTCCTCATCAATCCATGGAGCCTTAACCATTCTAACAGTCAGTTTCTTAACAGGTGCATGTTTATCAATAATTGGAAGAAGCAATTTCATAAATTCATCAAGCGCAGCGTCTGGATGCTCCTTATTTATCACATCATACCAACAAATATTTTTAACATCATCCACATAAGTCACTGCAGAATCTTTTGTATGATCTCTTATACACTATTTTAGGCCCAGCTTTTGGAACTTTGGCTTTCCTGGATATAGCCACTATATTGTGATCACTGCATCGAATTGGTACAAATACAGCTTTGAACAAAGTTCTACAGCGTTAGTAAAAATGTGATCAATTCATGTGGATGATCCAGTTCCTGTAGTGTTTTTAACACCCTGGTAAGTTGATTAATGACCTTAACCATATTACAGGCACTGGTTACAGTGAGCAGATTCCTCATGAGCTGACAGCATGATGAAAACCAGTCAATATTCAGATCCGCAAGAATGCAGATCTCTCTGTTCACATCACATACACTATCAAGCATTTCACACACATTATTTAGATACTGACTGTTAGCACTTGGTGGCCTATAGCAGCACCCTACAATAATAGACTTTAGATGAGGCAGGTGAACCTGCAACCACAACACTTCAGTAACACTCGACATTAGATTTTCTGTAAGCATTACAGGGATATAGCTCTGAATATATATATATATATATATATATATATATATATATATATATATATATATATATATATATATATATATATATATATATATATATATATATAGACAGTATCCCACAAAAGTGAGTACACCCCTCACATTTTTGTAAATATTTGAGTATATCTTTTCATGTGACAACACTGAAGAAATGACACTTTGCTACAATGTAAAGTAGTGGGTGTACAGCTTGTATAACAGTGTAAATTTGCTGTCCCCTCAAAATAACACAACACACAGCCATTAATGTCTAAACCGCTGGCAACAAAAGTGAGTACACCCCTAAGTGAAAATGTCCAAATTGGGCCCAAAGTGTCAATATTTTGTGTGGCCACCATCATTTTCCAGCACTGCCTTAACTCTCTTGGGCATGGAGTTCACCAGAGCTTCACAGGTTGCCACTGGAGTCCTCTTCCACTCCTCCACCTTCCGTTTGAGGATGCCCCACAGATGCTCAATAGGGTTTAGGACATGCTTGGCCAGTCCATCACCTTTACCCTCAGCTTCTTTAGCAAGGCAGTGGTCGTCTTGGAGGTGTGTTTGGGGTCGTTATCATGTTGGAATACTGCCCTGCGGCCCAGTCTCCGAAGGGAGGGGATCATGCTCTGCTTCAGTATGTCACAGTACATGTTGGCATTCATGGTTCCCTCAATGAACTGTAGCTCCCCAGTGCCGGCAGCACTCATGCAGCCCCAGACCATGACACTCCCACCACCATGCATGACTGTAGGCAAGACACACTTGTCTTTGTACTCCTCACCTGGTTGCCGCCACACACGCTTGACACCATCTGAACCAAGTAAGTTTATCTTGGTCTCATCAGACCACAGGACATGGTTCCAGTAATCCATGTCCTTAGTCTGCTTGTCTTCAGCAAACTGTTTGCGGGCTTTCTTGTGCATCATCTTTAGAAGAGGCTTCCTTCTGGGACGACAGCCATGCAGACCAATTTGATGCAGTGTGCGGCGTTTGGTCTGAGCACTGACAGGCTGACCCCCCAACTCTTCAACCTCTGTAGCAATGCTGGCAGCACTCATATGTCTATTTCCCAAAGACAACCTCTGAATATGACGCTGAGCACGTGCACTCAACTTCTTTGGTCGACCAATGGCGAGGCCTGTTCTGAGTGGAACCTGTCCTGTTAAACCGCTGTATGGTCTTGGCCACCGTGGTGCAGCTCAGTTTCAGGGTCTTGGCAATCTTATAGCCCAGGCCATCTTTATGTAGAGCAACAATTCTTTTTTTCAGATCCTCAGAGAGTTCTTTGCCATGAGATGCCATGTTGAACTTCCAGTGACCAGTATGACGGAGTGTGAGAGCGATGACACCAAATTTAACACACCTGCTCCCCATTCACACCTGAGACCTTGTAACACTAACGAGTCACATGACACCGGGGAGGGAAAATGGCTAATTGGGCCCAATTTGGACATTTTCACTTAGGGGTGTACTCACTTTTGTTGCCAGCGGTTTAGACATTAATGGCTGTGTGTTGCGTTATTTTGAGGGGACAGCAAATTTACACTGTTATACAAGCTGTACACTCACTACTTTACATTGTAGCAAAGTGTCATTTCTTCAGTGTTGTCGCATGAAAAGATATACTCAAATATTAACAAAAATGTGAGGGGTGTACTCACTTTTGTGAGCTTCTATCTATCTATCTTATCTATCTTATATATCTTATCTATCTTATCTATCTTATCTATCTATCTTATCTATACCTCCCCCATAAGCGTTCCTGTCTCTTCTGTAGAAGCTATATCCTTGTATTGCTACTGCTGTATCATCAAATGAATTATCTAAGTGAGTCTCAGAAATGGCTAATATATTAATGTTTTCTGATAGCAAGTTATGGATTTCATGAAACTTATTTCTAAGGCTACATTAATATGGACTATTTCTAGCCCTTTCCTGGGTAGCTTATCAGGGATAGACATAATATTGAAAAGAACAAACAAAGCAAGAGAGAAAGAAAACATTCAGCAGTCCATTAATCAGTTGGTGTGTGTAAGTGTGTGTGTGTGCTGTGGTGTTGAAGCTACGAAACCATAGGCCTGGCTCTCTCATCCCTTCCAGGCTTTTGGGAGGGAGGGTGGACAATGAGCCTGTCATAGCGGATGTAAGCAATGTCCCCATGTGCTCTGGCAGCTTTCATGGCTGGGATAAGTTATTTCCTCTTCATGAAATGTCAATGAGATCCTACATCTGTAACATGAATTGCCAATGAGTTGAAGAAGTTAGCTGGCTCTGTTAGGGCGACCAGCTAAACTGGCAGGGAACCAGGCTTTTGTTAGCTTGCGCTGGCTGCTAAAGGAGGCAAGCTAGCGTGGAAGAGAGTGGCTGAGGGCTGAGGGGGTCTTTGAAGTGAAATGGAGCTAACCACCTTCCATTCCCAGAGGAGAGAGCTAGAGAGTGAGCCTCTCAGGCGCTGTGTGGAACCTCCACTGTTTCGCTCCAGTGAAGGGAGGACATGAGGCGAGGCTGCTTCTTCCAGCAGCAGGCCTCTATATGAGACACATATTTCCACAACCCCTATTCCTGCCCTGTCTGTGCGTTTCTATTGCCTGGTGAATCCCACACTTTCTAGAAATCAGTTAAAATATGAATGACATGTAAACAGCTGATTGGCCAGCTCAGCCAATGAGACGTCTCGGCCAAAAACATGACGTCATCCTCTATGAGGAAATAGCAAGCATTTTTGAAACAGTCTGTCTGTGGTACAAGTTTGAGGTGGGGGTTTTGAAGTGTTTTTTTTCCCTCTAATTTCTGCTTTGGCAACAAATACAAGTATAGGATGAGTCAACAACATTATTTGGGTAAGAGTTAACAGATTTTTGTTTCTCTTTATTATTAATATTCTTTGTATTTTACCCCCTTTTTCTCCCCAATTTTGATCTTGTCTCATCGCTGCAACTCCCCAATGGGCTTGGGAGAGGCGAAGGTCGAGTCATGCGTCCTCCGAAACATGACCCGCCAGACCGCGCTTCTTAACACCCGCGCGCTTAACCCGGAAGCCAGCTGCACCAATGTGTCAGAGGAAACACTGTTCAACTGACCACCGAAGTCACAAGGAGTCGCTAGAGCGTGATGAGCCAAGTAAAGCCCCCCCGTCCAAACCCTCCCCTAACCCGGACGACGCTGGGCCAATTGTGCGCCGCCCTATGGGACTCCTGGTCACGGCCGGTTGTGACACAGCCTGGGATCGAACCCGGGTCTGTAGTGACGCCTCAAGCAGTGCCATAGACCGCTGCGCCACTCGGGAGGCCCTAGATTATGAGCTTTCTAATTGAGATGTTACTTTAACTGTAAGTTGCAGTGAATAAAAATGTCTGATAAATGACCATTATGTCAACATTTGGTCCGCTTATGTGACCTATCTATATGTGCCGTGTCCCCTTAGGAGGCAGAGGGGGCGCTGCCCTACCTGCTGGTGCTGTGTGGGGACCACGGGATGTCCGAGACGGGCAGCCACGGGGGCTCGTCTGAGCATGAGGTCAACACACCCCTGGTGCTCATCAGCCCCGCCTTCAAGAAGAAAGGTAAGCACTCTCATTGGCTCTCCTGTTATCCCCCCCCCTGTCTGTCTGTCTTGCTGTCGGTGAACAAGTAGGCACATGCACACCGGTGTTCAAATCCGTATCACAACACACATCCACAATAGTATAGTGAAAATCCGTTTACATTTGTTTTCACCTATGAAAAATTTGGTTAAGTGAGGATTAACATCACTTTTGTTAAGTAAGGGCCTACTCCAAAGCGCCTGTGCCACACACACACACACACACACACACACACACACACACACACACACACACACGTTCACGCCTGGTTAAATAAAGGTTAAGAAAATACACGTTCTCTCTCTCACACAAACATACACACATGGCCATCTCTCAGCTGAGCTCTCACACTGTGAGAAGCGGTGATGTCTTGGCAATGTGTTAAGAGGGGCTCATTAACGTCTCGCCGCTCTGTGACGAACGTGTTGGAGGCCGTCGGTGTGAATGTGATAATTGTTTCTATATTCGCCACGTCTATTTCTAGATCACTCCTCATCTACATGGGTTTATTTCAGGTGGATAAAATTTTACTGAAAGACTGGCTGAGAAATGAAGTGTTGGCAGAAACATGATGGACAGGCTGGTACAGTAACTTGTACTGTAGGACCTCAGACACATGATGGACAGGCTGGTACAGTAAGTTGTACTGTAGGACCTCAGACACATGATGGACAGGCTGGTACAGTAACTTATACTGTAGGACCTCAGACACATGATGGACAGGCTGGTACAGTAAGTTGTACTGTAGGACCTCAGACACATGATGGACAGGCTGGTACAGTAACTTATACTGTAGGACCTCAGACACATGATGGACAGGCTGGTACAGTAACTTATACTGTAGGACCTCAGACACATGATGGACAGGCTGGTACAGTAAGTTGTACTTTAGGACCTCAGACACATGGACAGGCTGGTACATTAAGTTGTACTGTAGGACCAGACACATGATGGACAGGCTGGTACATTAAGTTGTACTGTAGGACCAGACACATGATGGACAGGCTGGTACAGTAACTTATACTGTAGGACCTCAGACACATGATGGACAGGCTGGTACAGTAAGTTGTACTGTAGGACCTCAGACACATGATGGACAGGCTGGTACATTAAGTTGTACTGTAGGACCAGACACATGATGGACAGGCTGGTACAGTAAGTTGTACTGTAGGACCTCAGACACATGATGGACAGGCTGGTACAGTAAAGTATACTGTAGGACATCAGACACATGATGGACAGGCTGGTACAGTAAGTTGTACTGTAGGACCAGACACATGATGGACAGGCTGGTACAGTAACGTATACTGTAGGACCTCAGACACATGATGGACAGGCTGGTACAGTAAGTTGTACTGTAGGACCTCAGACACATGATGGACAGGCTGGTACAGTAACTTATACTGTAGGACCTCAGACACATGATGAACAGGCTGGTACACTAACTTACACTGTAGGACCTCAGACACATGATGGACAGGCTGGTACATTAAGTTGTACTGTAGGACCAGACACATGATGGACAGGCTGGTACAGTAAGTTATACTGTAGGACCTCAGACACATGATGGACAGGCTGGTACAGTAACTTATACTGTAGGACCTCAGACACATGATGGACAGGCTGGTACAGTAAGTTGTACTGTAGGACCTCAGACACATGATGGACAGGCTGGTACAGTAAGTTGTACTGTAGGACCTCAGACACATGATGGACAGGCTGGTACAGTAACTTATACTGTAGGACCTCAGACACATGATGGACAGGCTGGTACAGTAAGTTGTACTGTAGGACCTCAGACACATGATGGACAGGCTGGTACAGTAAGTTATACTGTAGGACCTCAGACACATGATGGACAGGCTGGTACAGTAACTTGTACTGTAGGACCTCAGACACATGATGGACAGGCTGGTACAGTAACTTACACTGTAGGACCTCAGACACATGATGGACAGCCTGGTACAGTAACTTATACTGTAGGACCTCAGACACATGATGGACAGGCTGGTACAGTAAGTTGTACTGTAGGACCTCAGACACATGATGGACAGGCTGGTACAGTAACTTATACTGTAGGACCTCAGACACATGATGGACAGGCTGGTTACAGTAAGTTGTACTGTAGGACCTCAGACACATGATGGACAGGCTGGTACAGTAAGTTGTACTGTAGGGCCTCTGACACATGATGGACTGCAGAGCTCATGTTCTGGATTGTCCTGTCAACTCAACTGGCAGAATTAATCTTGAGCTAAAAACAGGACACAGCATTAATAAAATATACATTTTTGAATGGATTTTGTTTTGTTTTAAAGTGTGCTACATAAAGTGAATTAATCATTGTTATTAAAGTATGACGTAGAGGAGTAGGGGATTAGAGGAGTAGGGGATTAGAGGAGTAGGGGATTAGAGGAGTAGGAGATTAGGGGAGTAGGGGTTGATTGGAGATGCGGTACATAAATTATGTTCTGCTCCTGTGACTTCTCACTTCATTTCTCAACTGTGTACGTGTGTGTGTGTGTGTGTGTGTGTGTGTGTGTGTGTGTGTGTACACACGCGTTTGTCTGTCTGTCTTGTGCATGTGTGCCTCCTTGCGCGCTCTTGTTTCTATGTCCTGAGATACTCCCTCAAACTATCTCTTCTCTCTACTCCTTATAAACAGTAGGGATGGAGAAACAGTCAACAGTCGAGCAGGTGGACCTAACCCCGACCCTGGCTCTTGGTCTGGGCCTGCCCATCTCCCAGAACAGCGTGGGCCGACTCATCCAGCCCGTGGTAGAGGAGGCCTCGCTCAGGGACCAGCTGCGCTTCCTGCACCTCAACGGCCACCAGCTGAGCTACCTGCTGAAGGACAGCATCCCAGCCTATGAGAAAGGTAAGAGGGAATAGTGTGGGTCAGTGCAGTGGTAGTGCCAGATCAGAGCAAGGCTAAATCAGCTTCCAGCCTCCCAAAGCAACAGAGTTGTCCGTGTGTACTAGAGCTCTTCACGGGTCCAAACAGATGGACCCGTTCCGAAATGAATCCGTGGCTTTCCCACCCAACCCGATATGCATAAATATATATATTTTTTAAAGGAGACCAGTTCCGAATGGACCCAAGGACAGTCAGATCCGTTCCAAAATGGCCCGTGGAAAAACACGCAAATGGACCCGTGTTGGTTTGGATCCGAGAGTAGAACGAGAGAGAGAAAGAAACCTCTGCCAACAATTAACAAGCGATATTGGCCAAATGATCGATCCACAGTTACATGTCCTTAAAAACTACCAAATGACATATAACAAACTACAAACAAAATATTATGTGTTTCGATGTGTAGCATAATCAAAACTGTATAGCTTATTGTTTTATTGGTTTTTACTTTCCTAAAACAATAATTGTTCACCTTACGGTTCAGCTGTCAGAGATTTGAGCGCTTAATGTATCAGGGCATTGCATGCATTTATGTCTATAGGCCTAGCTTCCACTGTATGATATTAATATTAAAGGAAGAGAAGCTTAGGCCTAGCCCTAGAGAGAATAAAGGAGCAACTTTGGTAGGCCTAAAGCATCTTTCCTGACCTCAAGCCTATACCACACCAAACCTTCACAAAAGTTTCTTAACTTTATTAGAGTAATATCAAAGTAAGTCAAGTCATTGTTTAAAGGTAAAATACAAACTGTAGGCATACCCAACAAATGACAGCAAAAGGCTAATTATATTTATTTTACGTCAGGCCTACTTTAAACTTTTATCTTAAATTAAATACAGAGCACAAAATTAAAAATACATTTTGAACTTAATTTAGCCAACGAAAATGTCTCAACAAAATGAAACAAAACACTTTGCATATTTAAAGAAATGTTTTAGATTCTAAACTAGGCTTACAATAATAATAATGATAAAAACAAATTATAATAAATACGAAAATAAATAAATAAAAGTTCGAAAATTGCATCAAAGCTGAATAGCGAGTTGCACACATTCCATTTGCCCACGTGACGTTCTTCTCATCTTTATCACTAAAACTTGTCCCCACAGAGGACATTCCCCTTGTCGGCTTCTTTTCACTATACTCTTTCTCCTCTAACTTTGGTTTTACTTCAATGAAAAAGGCCTCAATTTTTGCAAACAACAGTAGCCTAGGCCAAGGCTCCTTTCACGCGCTCTCTCTCTTCAGCAGCAGGCGTAAGTAAGGTGAGAGGCCTGAACCAGTTTCTGCTGGACATAAGCTATATGTTTTATTGAGTTGCAATCAAGCTTGCACAGTTCTCATCGCCTCACACATTAAATGAACAGAGGACAGGTCCAGTTGGTAAATCAATTTTAATTGCACATACCCGAGACCCGTGGCAATTCAGACCCAACCCAGATCCGAGACAAAATTCTGAATTTATGGTCGGATCTCAGAATTTGGGATCTGTTGGACCTCTAGTGTGTACAAAGCTATTTAGATAAAGCCAAAAAAAGTGGCTCAATTATTAATAACACAAGTATGAACAAGCAAGTATACAGGTGCTTAAGCACATGAGCACAATGTGTGGTGTACACAAACAGCATATGTCCCTGGAACCCTTTAAGTCTGTAAATAGATGGAAGGATTCAACATGGTTGAGTTACAAAGATTGCCTTTGGCTGCCTCTCTACAGAAGACAATCCTTCTCCCTCTCTCTTGACGCACACACACACACACACACACACCTACACACACCTAACACACACACACACACACAGCCTTCCTCTGCAGGGTTTTACTCTCTCTCCCTCTAGTATCTTACTGAGTCACTGTCAAAGAAAGAAAGGAGAAGATTATCAAACTTTGGAGTTCTCACACAAACACACACACCTGTGTTTAGGCTGTGTTGTATACATGTCAGAGCAAGGCTGTGAGGCCTGTCCTTGGGCTATTACAGGGGATGTTCTGTGTCAGGTCATCTCTTCCCAGTGATCAAAATTGCTCCTGCACATTTATTTGGTTCATAATCTTGAAAAGGGTCAACTTAACTCAAATGCACAATATAGACTGAGTGTACAAAACATTAAGAAAACATGGTCTTTCCATGACATAGACTGACCAGGTGAATCCAGGTGAAAGCTACGCTACATGACCAAAAGTGGACACCTGCTCGTCAAACATCTAATTCCAGAATCATGGGCATTAATATGTAGTTAGTCCCCCCTTTGCTGCAATAACAGCCTCCACTCTTCTGGGAAGGCTTTCCACTAGATGTTGGAACATTGCTGCGGGGCCTTGCTTCCATTCAGCCACGAGCGTTAGTAAGGTCGGGCACTGATGTTGGGCGATTAGGCCTGGCTCGGCATTCCAATTCATTCCGAAGGTGTTCGATTGGGTTGAGGTCAGGGCTCTGTGCAGGCCAGTCAAGTTCTTCCACACCGATCTCGACAAACCATTTCTGTATGGACCTTGCTTTGTACACGGGAGCATTGTCATGCTGAAACAGGAAAGGGCCTTCCCCAAACTGTTGCCACAAAGTCTAGAATGTAATTGTATGCTGTAGCGTTAAGATTTCCCTTTACTGGAACTAAGGGGCCTAGCCCGAACCATGAAAAACAGCCCCAGACCATTAGTCCTCCTCCACCAAACTTTACAGTTAGAACTATGCATTCGGGCAGGTAGCGTTCTCCTGGCATCCGCCAAACCCAGATTCGTCCGTCTGACTGCCAGATACATACATCACTCCAGAGAATGCGTTTCCACTGCTCCAGAGTCCAATGACGGCAAGCTTTACACAACTCCAGCTGACGCTTGGCATTGTGCATGGTGATCTTAGGCTTGTGTGCGGCTGCTCGGCCATGGAAACCCATTTCATGAAGCTCCCGACGAACAGTTATTGTGCTGACGTTGCTTCCAGATGCAGTTTGGAACTCGTTAGTGAGTGTTGCAACCGAGGACAGATGATTTTTATGCTCTTCAGCACTCTGCGGTCCCGTTCTGTGAGCTTGTGTGGCCTACCACTTTGCGGCTGAGCCGTTGTTGCTCCTAGATATTTCCACTTCACAATAACAGCACTTACAGTTGACCGGAGCAGCTCTAGCAGGGCAGAAATTTGACGAACTGACTTGTTGGAAAGGTGGCATCCTATGACGGTGCCACTTTGAAAGTCACTGAGCTCTTCAGTAAGGCCAATCTACTGCCAATGTTTGTCTATGGAGATTGCATGGCTGTGTGCTCGATTTTATACGCTTTTCATCAACAGGTGTAGCTGAAATAGCTGAATCCACCAGTTTAAAGGGGTGTCCACAAAATTTTGCATTCCTTATTGATGTCACCTATTAAATCCACTTCAATCAGTGTAGATGAAGGGGAGGAGACAGGTTAAAGGATTGTTGAGCCTTGAGACAACTGAAACATGTATGTGTGCCATTCATAGGTTGAATGGACAAGATAAAATATTGAAGTGCCCTTTGAACGGGGTATGATAGTAGGTGCCAGGCGCAACGGTTTGAGTTTGTCAAGAACTCCAATACTGCTGGGTTTTTCACGCTCAACAGTTTCCCGTGTGTATCAAGAGTGGTCCACCACCCAAAGGACATCCAGCCAATGGCAGGACAGTGCTCGAAAACGGGTCATTGATGAAAGACAAAGAAGGCTGACGCTTTGTGCAGAGTAACAGACGGGCTACAGTTAGTCAACTGACAGTCCAGTACAACATTGGTGCCCAAAGACCCATAAAAGAATGCACAACTTGTCATACCTTGACACGAATGGGGTATGGCAGCCGACGACCTTGCAGAGTTCCTCTTCTTTCAGCAAAAAATAAGAAACTTTGGTTGCAGTGGCTAAGGAACGAAAACACTGGACACTGGAGAACTGGAAAAACATTGCCTGGACTGATGAATCCCAGTTCCTGCTGTTTCACGCTAATGGGAGGACTAGAGTATGGAGAAAACCACGAGTACATGCGTCCATTGTGCCCCTTGTCAACATTGCAGGCTGGTGGTGGTGGTGTGGGGTGTGTTTTCATGGCACGCATTGGGCCTAAAAGTGGAGCAACGTTTGAATGCTACAGGATATCTGAACATCTTTGCCAATCAGGTGCATCCTTTCATGGCAGCAGTGTATCCATCTGCGAATAGATTTTTTCAGCAGGATAATACCCAATGCCACAAGGCTAGGATTGTCCAGCTTACCGCAGTGGCCTGCCCAGTCACCAGATCTCAATCCAATTTGAGCATCTGTGGGATGAGATGGAACGAGCTATTTGGAGTAGAAATCCACTACCAGCCAACTTGACACAACTGTGGGAAGCATTGGAGTCAACATGGGCCAGCATCCCTGTGGAACGCTTTCGACACCTTGTAGAGTCCATGCCCGACTAATTGAGGCTATTCTGAGGGCAAAAGGGGGTGCAACTCAATATTAGGAAGGTGTTCCTAATGTTTTGTACACTCAGTGTAAATGTCTAGAAGTAAACGTGGTACAGAGGTAATAGTGGTTCTGAGGTCTCACTAGGTTGGAACATGGAGCCTACAATTCGAGGGTTGTGGGTTTGAATATGTAAAGTTAGGCACTATATGGTATGTCAGAATCCCTTGAGGATTCTCTGCTGGTGTGTCAACTATATGGAACAGTACAGGAACATATTCCATATTCATTTTGAGGTAGGGTTCCTGCTTTAAAATGATGTGTTGATCTAGCTGGCTTCTGAATGATGTGTTGATCTAGCTGGCTTCAGAATGATGTGTTGATCTAGCTGGCTTCAGAATGGTGTGTTGATCTAGCTGGCTTCAGAATGATGTGTAGATCTAGCTGGCTTCATAATGATGTGTTGATCTAGCTGGCTTCAGAATGATGTGTTGATCTAGCTGGCTTCAGAATGATGTGTTGATCTAGCTGGTTTCAGAATGATGTGTTGATCTAGCTGGCTTCAGAATGATGTGTTGGTCTAGCTGGCTTCAGAATGATGTGTTGGTCTAGCTGGCTTCAGAATGATGTGTTGGTCTAGCTGGCTTCAGAATGATGTGTTGATCTAGCTGGCTTTTGAACAAAGAATAATCCAGGTTGGTAGATAGTGTGAGTGTGTTTCCCCAAACCACCGCACGAGTGTGTGTGGGCGCAAGTGAGTGTGGGCGCAAGTGGGTGTGAGTGTAAGTGGGTGTGAGTGTGTCTGGGCGTGAGTGTGTCTCTCTCCTCAGAGTGCTTGATCTTGATCAAAGCCAAGTCTCACAATGCAGATTCCTATCGGTGAATGTGTGTCAAAACACAGGCTGGTCACAAGAAAGAGATGTTGAATTCAGATGCTTGAAAACGTTCGGAGGACGTCGATATATGCCTTCGTCGGGGCGCTCACCCCCCAAGAATAAACAATTATGGCATAGCACTGGGCTGGAAATTACGAGGCTCAGAGCCAGAGAGCTGCCTTGACCACTGCACCACTCAGAGCCAGAGAGCTGCCTAGACCACTGCCCCACTCAGAGCCAGAGGATGCTTAGACCACTGCCCCACTCAGAGCCAGAGGATGCTTAGACCACTGCCCCACTCAGAGCCAGAGGATGCTTAGACCACTGCCCCACTCAGAGCCATAGGCTGCCTAGACCACTGCCCCACTCAGAGCCATAGGCTGCCTAGACCACTGCCCCACTCAGAGCCATAGGCTGCCTAGACCACTGCACCACTCCGAGCCAGAGGCTTCCTAGACCACTGCCCCACTCAGAGCCAGAGGATGCTTAGACCACTGCCCCACTCAGAGCCAGAGGATGCTTAGACCACTGCCCCACTCAGAGCCATAGGCTGCCTAGACCACTGCCCCACTCAGAGCCATAGGCTGCCTAGACCACTGCCCCACTCAGAGCCATAGGCTGCCTAGACCACTGCACCACTCCGAGCCAGAGGCTTCCTAGACTACTGCACCACTCAGAGCCAGGGAGCTGCCTAGACCACTGCACCACTCAGAGCCAGAGGATGCTTAGACCACTGCCCCACTCAGAGCCAGAGGCTGCCTAGACCACTGCACCACTCAGAGCCAGAGGCTGAGCCAGAGGCTGCCTAAACCACTGTGCCACTCAGAGCCAGAGCGCTGCCTAGACCACTGCACCACTCAGAGCCAGATCGCTGCCTAGACTACTGCACCACTCAGAGCCAGATCGCTGCCTAGACTACTGCACCACTCAGAGCCAGATCGCTGCCTAGACTACTGCACCACTCAGAGCCAGATCGCTGCCTAGACCACTGCGCCACAGCAATTCACCATTCTCTTGCAAGCAGGGAGGGTACTTGATGATACTTAATGGAAACAGCGCATTGTTTTTAATTATTTAGTTTTAAGCCTTCCCCAAACCATAACCCTAACCTTAACCACTCTAAATAAATACCTAAACTTAACCCTTTCAGTTGTTTCTGTTAAACTTGTAACCACACGGAATTAACCCTGTAATCATGCGGAATGAATTGGTCAAAAATCGACGTTCATCCAATTACGGCAAATTCTGAAGTGAAACTATGAGGTCAGGTCAAAACATGCCCTCTGTGCTCGCCGTGCTCTACGCCACCTAAATAGCACACGCATAGATGCACACAGGCAAACACACAGACATACACTCACACACAGGCAAACACACAGACATACACTCACACACAGGCAAACACACAGACATACACTCACACACAGGCAAACACACAGACATACACTCACACACAGGCAGACACACAGACATACACTCACACACAGGCAAACACACAGACATACACTCACACACATGCATACACGCAGACGCAGTTCTACATGCCACAGTTCAAGACGTTTGCATTACCTGAGTATTTCGATAAATGACACACATTGAACCCTGAGTAAAGATATTAATGATAAGTCAGGGTTGATAATCATCTATGTTCACAACTGTTAACATTTTCACTGTCTTATTATCAATTCACCGCCACCGCCACCCTCTCCCCTTCATCTCCTTCTTTTTGTTTCAGGACTCAGCTCCCCACAGGCCTCTGAGTGATGAATGCTCATTACGGTAGTAAAAATGCTTGCTAATCAATCAGAGTGGCTGCTTAGTGCAACTGTAATTTAAAGCAAATTTAGATTCTAGTAGAGTAGCTCAAAAGTATTTAGTATTTATTAGAATCCCCATTAGCTGCTGCCAAGAGAGAGGATAACTCACACAGGTCTTAAATGACTGTTCTGAGTTCGACCTAAAATGGCTGCCAGGAAGGCCCTTGTCCACACTGCAGACTATTCAGCAAATTATTCATTTGCCAGTTTCCATAGTGATTCTGGGACTTCTACTTTACAAGCAGCGGACCTAAGTCTAGTTCTTGAGGCTATTACAACTCTGAGATAGTGACCTCAAAGCATCCTTGTTCTTCCTGTGTACACAATGGACATGCCTAGACATCTACATTAACATCCATCTTACACTGTACATGCCTAGACAGCTACACTAACATCAGTCTCACAACCAACATGCCTAGACATCTACTCTAACATCCATCTCACACCGGACATGCCTAGACATCTCTACTAACATCAGTCTCACAACCAACATGCCTAGACATCTACTCTAACATCCATCTCACACCTACAGTAGACATCTACTCTAACATCCATCTCACACCTACAGTAGACATCTACACTAACATCCATCTCACACCAGACATGCCTAGACATCTACACAAACATCCATCTCACACCTACAGTAGACATCTACTCTAACATCCATCTCACACCTACAGTAGACATCTACGCTAACATCCATCTCACACTGGACATGCCTAGACATCTACTCTAACATCCACATACAGTAAATGAGCCTTATTTCTTGACAAACACAGAAAATACATGATGAAATGCTAAAGTCAGTCAGTGGCATAGCTCCTATCTTTCTTTTTCTTTTTTCATTACCTTTTATTTCCTACATACAGTATTTCAATTACTGGACCTCCTTTGATTGGCTTTTTGTTTTTCCTCAGTGAAAGGAACAGGGGACTCTGTTCAATGGACTCTATTCAATCTGACATAAACCTCAGATAGAGGAAGTTGGACAATTGGAGAAAGTGACTGCTCTTAAAGTGAACTCCGCAAGGTTCAGGTTATTGCTGTCCCAGTCAGTGTCACTTTGATTAAAGCAGCCCTAATGCATGTCAAGGTCACATCCAGCCAAAGACCAAGCAAGCAATGTGGTTCGAAGTTCAACCAAAGTGGCAATTGATTGTGGCAATACCAAACCAATCACTATTAGACTGACACAGTGGTGCCTACGTCAAGGCAGCTCGCCTCCTTCCCTTTTTGACCTAACACATGTCCATCTCAAGGTGAGCATACAGTGCCTTCGGAAAGTATTCAGACCCTTTGACTTTATGCAAATTTTGTTACGTTACAGCCTTATCCTAAAATGGATTAAGTAAAAAAAATCCTCAGCAATCTACACACAATACCCCATAATGACAAAGCAAAAAAAGTGTTTTAGAATACCTTATTTACATAAGTATTCAGACCCTTTGCTATGAGACTCGAAATTGAGATCAGGTGCATCCTGTTTCCATTGATCATCCCTGAGATGTTTCTACAACTTGATTGGAGTCTACCTGTGGTAATTTCAATTGATTGGACATTATTTGGAAAGACACACACACGTCTATATAAGGTCCCGCAGTTGACAGTGCATGTCGGAGCAAAAACCAAGCCATGAGGTCGAAAGAATTGTCTGTAGAGCCCCCGAGACAGGATTGTGTCGAGGCACAGATCTGGGGAAGGGTACCAAAAAATGTCTGCAGCATTGAAGGCCCCCAAGAACACAGTGGCCTCCATCATTATTAAATGGAAGATGTTTAGAACCACCAAGACTCTTCCTAAAGCTGGCCGCCCGGCCAAACTGAGCAATCGGGGGAGAAGGGCCTTGGTCAGGGAGGTGCCCAAGAACCCGATGGTCACTCTGATAGAGCTCCAGACTTCCTCTGTGGAGATGAGTGACGAGGCGGAAGCCACTCCTCAGTAAAAAGCACATGACAGCCCGCTTGGAGTTTACCAAAACGCACCTAAAGACTCTCAGACCATGAGAAACAAGATTCTCTGGTCTGATGAAACCAATATGGAACTCTTTGGTCTGAATGCCAAGCGTCACATCTGGAGGAAACCTGGCACCATCCCTACGGTGAAGCATGGTGGTGGCAGCATCATTCTGTGGGGATGTTTTTCAGTGGCAGGGACTGGGAAACTAGTCAGGAACAGGAGGCAAAGCTGAACGGAGTAAAGTACAGAGAGATAGATCCTTGATGAAAACCTGCTCAGGACCTCAGACTGGGGCGAAGGTTCACCTTCCAACAGGACAATGACCCTAAGCACACAGCCAAAACAATGCAGGAGTGGCTTCGGTACAAGGAATATCCTTGAGTGGCCCAGCCAGAGCCAGGACATGAACCCAATTGAACATCTCTGGAGGGACCTGAAAATAGCTGTGCAGCAACACTCCCCATCCAACCTGACAGAGCTTGAGAGGATCTGCGGAGAAGAATGGGAGAAACGCCACAAATACAGGTGTGCCAAGCTTGTAGCGTCATACCCAAGAAGACTCGAGGCTGTAATCGCTGCCAAAGGTGCTTCAACAAAGTACTGAGTAAAGTGTCTGAATACTCATGTAAATATGACATTTAATAAAAAAAATTTAAACCTGTTTTTGCTTTGTCATTCTGGGTTATTGTGTGTAGATTGATGAGGGGGAAAAAACAATTTAATCCATTTTAGAATAAGGCTGTAACCTAACAAAATGTGGAAAGGTCAAGGGGTTTGAATACTTTCCGAAGGCACTGTACATGAACAATTACATAGTGCTGGAATGAAAAAGGTGCTGGTACACATTTTAGGTGTTCATATTTTAGAGTGAATGGGTGGACATTGATGGGCGAACATTGTGATTTCCCCAAGGCTGTGACCTCTGACTGGTGTGTGTCACGAGTGTTTGTCTTTTTATTGACAGAGTATGATGAATGGGTCACCGTGGTGGAGCCCTTAAAGCCGCAATCAGCTGTTGAGACAATAACAAAGCCTTCCCTACCCCCGTTTTGGTAAAAAGCTCTGGGATGGGGCTGGAGGAATGTAACCACTCTAAATTTCATAGACAGAGCTATGGATGCAAAGACTGACCATGATATCAAAATTATAGTTTTAACCATATTTTGAGGCTATATACTGTTTGTTTACATTTGTTTTGTTTACAAAGATTTGAGTAAAACATGCTTATATTTTGTGTTCTAATGGGGTACGACAGTTGCACTAAGCTCATGAGGCATTTATAAGTTACAGTCGTGGTCAAAAGTTTTGAGAATGACACATATTAATTTTCACCAAGTCTGCTGCCTCAGTTTTATGATGCCAATTTGCATATTCTCCAGAAAGTTATGAAGTGCGATCAGATGAATTGCAATTAATTGCAAAGTCCCTCTTTGCCATGAAAATGAACTTAATCCCCCAAAAAACATTTCCACTTCAATTTCAGCCCTGCCACAAAAGGACCAGTTGACATCATGTCAGTGATTCTCTCGTTAACACAGGTGAGAGTGTTGATTAGGACAGGGCTGGAGATCACTCTGTCATGCTGATTGAGTTAGAATAACAGACTGGAAGCTTTAAAATGAGGGTGGTGCTTGAAGTCATTGTTCTTCCTCTGTTAACCATGGTTACCTGCAAGGAAACATGTGCCGTCATCATTGCTTTGCACAAAAAGGGCTTCACAGGCAAGGATATTGCTGCTAGTAAGATTGCACCTAAATCAACCATTTATCGGATCATCAAGAACTTCAAGGAGAGAGGTTCAATTGTTGTTGCCTTGTGAAGAAGGCATCAGGGCGCCCAATAAAGTCCAGCAAGCGCCAGGACCGTCTCCTAAAGTTGATTCAGCTGCGGGATCGGGGCACCACCAGTGCAGAGCTTGCTCAGGAATGGAAGCAGGCAGGTGTAAGTGCATCTGCACGCACAGTGAGGCGAAGACTTATGTAGGATGGCCTGGTGTCAAGAAGGGCAGTGAGGAAGCCACTTCTCTCCAGGAAAAACATCAGGGACAGACTGATATTTTGCAAAAGGTACAGGGATTGGACTGCTGAGGACTGGGGTAAAGTCATTTTCTCTGATGAATCCCCTTTCCGATTGTTTGGGGCATCCGGAAAAAAGCTTGTCCGGAGAAGACAAGGTGAGCGCTACTATCAGTCATGTGTCATGCCAACAGTAAAGCATCCTGAGACCATTCATGTGTGGAGTTACTCCCTCAGCCAAGGGAGTGGGCTCACTCACAATTTTGCCTAAGAACACAGCCATGAATAAAGAATGGTACCAACACATCCTCCGAGAGCAACTTCTCCCAACCATCCAAGAACAGTTTGGTGACGAACAATGCCTTTTCCAGCATGATGGAGCACCTTGCCATAAGGCAAAAGTGATAACTAAGTGGCTCGGGGAACAAAACATCGACATTTTGGGTCCATGGCCAGGAAACTCCCCAGACCTTAATCCCATTGAGAACTCGTGGTCAATCCTCAAGAGGCGGGTGGACAAACAAAAACCCACAAATTCTGCCAAACTCCAAGCATTGATTATGCAAGAATGGGCTGCCATCAGTGAGGATGTGGCCCAGAAGTTAATTGCAGAGGTCTTGAAAAAACTTAATGTAATTGTCAATAAAAGCCTTTGACACTTATGTAATGCTTGTATTTATACTTTAGTATACCATAGTAACATCTGACAAAAATATCTAAAAACACTGAAGCAGCAAACTTTGTGAAGACCAATACTTGTCATTCTCAAAACTTTTGACCATGACTGTATATTCTTCAACAATCAATGGGTACATATCGTTAATTTATAAGTCCAGAAATGGATGTAGGAAGTGCAGATTACCCCTTTACGTCAAATAGTATATCCCCAGTGTCCACATTGTATATGTGAAGGATAGTAGTGTTCAGTCCATGGCACATCCAAATGTCTAAAAGCTGCCCCCATATTGAAACTATCAGATGCACATTACTACCAGCACTTAATTTTGCGTTCACCAAGACAGTAGTTTTGCTTTTGATACTCATGTAATTATACTTTTAAAACATTATTTACTTACTTTTAAATATTCCTTTGGATTCTTGCCAAACTGAATACTCTCAGAGAATCTCTGCGTTCTGTGCGCTGAATAGAACAGAGGTGTTGGAATCTAAACTTTTTGAATTAGGAGATGAAACAACCACCACAATCCAGGGTCCAATTTAATGAACTGAACTTTATTCTTAGTCTGCGGAGATGAAGGTTTGAAATCTTCACATGCTCAACAAAACCAAAGCTTACAGTGCAATTCAAAGAAAAACTCTCCTACACATTAGGCATAGTTCAAACATGCTTTCTCCCTGTGCGGAAATAATGTTACTTTAAAGTTATTTAGATGTTTTGTTTGAACCTAGCCCAGCTCTCAGTTTATACAGTGGGGAAAAAAAGTATTTAGTCAGCCACCAATTGTGCAAGTTCTCCCTCTTAAAAAGATGAGAGAGGCCTGTAATTTTCGTCATAGGTACACGTCAACTATGACAGACAAAATGAGCATTTTTTTTTCAGAAAATCACATTGTAGGATTTTTAATGAATTGATTTGCAAATTATGGTGGAAAATAAGTATTTGGTCACCTACAAACAAGCAAGATTTCTGGCTCTCACAGACCTGTAACTTCTTCTTTAAGAGGCTCCTCTGTCCTCCACTCGTTACCTGTATTAATGGCACCTGTTTGAACTTGTTATCAGTATAAAAGACACCTGTCCACAACCTCAAACAGTCACACTCCAAACTCCACTATGGCCAAGACCAAAGAGCTGTCAAAGGACACCAGAAACAACATTGTAGACCTGCACCAGGCTGGGAAGACTGAATCTGCAATAGGTAAGCAGCTTGGTTTGAAGAAATCAACTGTGGGAGCAATTATTAGGATATGGAAGACATACAAGACCACTGATAATCTCCCTCGATCTGGGGCTCCACGCAAGATCTCACCCCGTGGGGTCAAAATGATCACAAGAACGGTGAGCAAAAATCCCAGAACCACACGGGGGGACCTAGTGAATGACCTGCAGAGAGCTGGCACCAAAGTAACAAAGCCTACCATCAGTAACACACTACGCCGCCAGGGACTCAAATCCTGCAGTGCCAGACGTGTCCCCCTGCTTAAGCCAGTACATGTCCAGGCCCGTCTGAAGTTTGCTAGAGTGCATTTGGATGATCCAGAAGAGGATTGGGAGAATGTCATATGGTCAGATGAAACCAAAATAGAACTTTTTGGTAAAAACTCAACTCGTCGTGTTTGGAGGACAAAGAATGCTGAGTTGCATCCAAAGAACACCATACCTACTGTGAAGCATGGGGGTGGAAACATCATGCTTTGGGGCTGTTTTTCTGCAAAGGGACCAGGACGACTGATCCGTGTAAAGGAAAGAATGAATGGGGCCATGTATAGTGAGATTTTGAGTGAAAACCTCCTTCCATCAGCAAGGGCATTGAAGATGAAACGTGGCTGGGTCTTTCAGCATGACAATGATCCCAAACACACCGCCCGGGCAACGAAGGAGTAGCTTCGTAAGAAGCATTTCAAGGTCCTGGAGTGGCCTAGCCAGTCTCCAGATCTCAACCCCATAGAAAATCTTTGGAGGGAGTTGAAAGTCCGTGTTGCCCAGCGACAGCCCCAAAACATCACTGCTCTAGAGGAGATCTGCATGGAGGAATGTGCCAAAATACCAGCAACAGTGTGTGAAAACCTTGTGAAGACTTACAGAAAACGTTTGACCTGTGTCATTGCCAACAAAGGGTATATAACAAAGTATTGAGAAACTTTTGTTATTGACCAAATACTTATTTTCCACCATAATTTGCAAATAAATTCATAGAAAATCCTACAATGTGATTTTCTGGAGAAAAAAAAATCTCATTTTGTCTGTCATAGTTGACGTGAACCTATGATGAAAATTACAGGCCTCTCTCATCTTTTTAAGTGGGAGAACTTGCACAATTGGTGGCTGACTAAATACTTTTTTTCCCCACTGTATAACCTGTACTTCTTACTGCAATACTGCACTTTCCCCCCTCTTTCCTTTGTCTCCAGCAATCTGTCTCACTGGCGGTTGGTGGTTGATTGATTGAGCTTATTTATTTGTTTCTCTGGAGTGGAGGAGGTACAGAGGTATGGATGAGGGGAACGGGAGGGCACCAGAGGTTTGGGTTCTTGCTGACGGGGCTCATTTCTGTCCTAAGTGCTGTGGCATCCCCCTCTCTAAAAACCTGGCCAACCGCCTCAGTGGGAGGGCAAAAATAACACTGATGATTTCATGAGTCAGCAATACGACAGTGGGTTGATTATTGAAGAAGCCCGCCACTGGTTGGAATGATGTATCGTACTACAAGTGAAGGGCCGCCCCTCGGCCTCATTGACAAGTCCCACTTACTTCTTTTGATATTTGTTTTTCAAAGAATTTCATACTTTTTTAACCTTGTCTCATCTTTTGTGGATTCTTCTAAAGCTAATCCATTGTTTCATTAAAATATGCTGTATTAAACTCTACATTTCCCAAAATTGGGATAACAGAAAAATGAAATTATTAATAGTAAGCATTATCAATGAACAAAATATGTTTGTTATTTCGAGGATAACGAAAGGCTAGTGCATGAAATATGTTTGGCTGTGCAGTATACAAAATGGATGTTGTCCAATCTAAATACTGCTCAGGAAAGAAGAGACTAACGGTATGCCATGGTGTGTCGCCTGTACCTATACTGATATGTCAAGGTCTAATTGTTCCCTCTCTCCCTGATCGCCTCTCGGGAAAGGAGAGAGAGATGGGCGGGATAGAGATAGAGAGAGATATAGCTAGAGAGAGTTGATGATATATAAGTATATGCGTATACGATCTTCTCTCTCTCTCTCTCTCTCTCCTCTCTTTCTCTCTCTCTCTCCTCTCTCTTCTCTCTCTCTCTCTCTCTCTCTCTCTCTCTCTCTCTCTCTCTCGTCTCCCCCCCTCCCTCCTTCCCTCCCCCACCCCCCCCTTCCTTCTGAGTTGAGCCTGGCTGCAGCAATTAGCTGGCTGCCCGATGAGGAAAGTAAGGGCCGTAATAATCACATTAGGAGACGGTGGGGATGGAATAAAAAATCTGGCTCACGCAAGGCCAGGGCATTCATCTCTCCTAGCCCATGATCAATGAATGAAATGAAAGTTGAATGGTGCCAAATGGATGGTGTGTTATCTTCACTTCTCTATTGGCGAAATCAGAGCAGGATGGAAAGTTGGTCCTGTGTAGTGTACAGTAACTGAATTAGTAAATTAATGATTTGTTATTGTTTGTGTAATTGGTGTTTAGCAGTACAACTGGTTACATTAGCTGCAGGGGTCGTGTCCATAGAAGTCGGTGACAGTGGTTGAAGGATGGGGGTACAATTGTAGAGATATGGTAGATGTGACTATAGCAGTATAGCTTGTAAATACTTAATGAAGACATATCTACTTTTTAGAGCTAGTCACCTCAAGAGATGTAATATTTATATGCTCTATATCGATCAACCAACAATGCCTTCATTCATCACCCTGAATTGCTTTGTAACTTTTTCCTGTCTGTTAGAGATGAGCTGATGGAAGTATAGGGTAGTACTGAGCAATTTAGTGCTTTTTGAAGTTGTTTCAATTAGAAAATAATCACGGTTTTCGGTTTAGATTATTTGCGTTGAATGCTGTAACACAGAATAAAACAATTAATAAAAGTCCCATGATGGTAGTGACTGCCATTACTACTTATCACATATTACCCATCAGTGATTCACATTACTTTAATTTAATAAAATATTTCAGTTGTGTTTTATTTGATGACTTTATTATTTCATTCCAAATTATCATCTCATCTTTATAGAGGTGCTGCCTATGCTGTCTGACTAAATCACTATTTTAGTAGTTCTTCAAAGTAAATAAGACATACTTTTATGACTGCTGAATACCAACTATCAATCACTTAGATTATGTATTTTCAGGTAGAGATACCTTGCGAAGCAACAGCTGCTCTCTATATCCCCTCATGATCTTGCGTTCTTCTGTCTCTTCCGTAGCGGGCGTAAAAGAAAAACAGACCGGACAAGTAGAATCGCAATGGATTATGCTCATTGTAGTGAATTACCACGTTTTATGGGCTAAACTATGTAGAATATTGGCCTGTTGGAAACTACAACTCCCTACTACGTCATTGAACAGTTCAGGTTGGATCTGATTTATCTCTAGAGAAACTGCGCTTTGAGCTCACAGGAAAAAAATTGAATTCAAATAATTAAACCGACGTCGTCAATTAGTTGTTTAAAAATGGAAAATTAACCTCATTTTCAGTTAATCGCCCAGCACTACTATAGGGTAATGAAAGTTCACAGTAGAGTATACAGCCCATGTCTCTCACTCTCTCTTAGACTGTCTTTTTTAATTTCTCTTTGGTTTGCTAATAACCTCCGGCATCTTGTGGACACCTAAAAAGGCCATCCTCTGACCCATCCCTCTTCCTTTTCTCTCTGACAGAGGACCATCTGTATTGTTTTATTCATGCCCATGGCTGAAGGCTCTAATATTTCCACCTCCATTCCTGTGTCTGACATAATCACAATCACCATTTATCATAGTTATGCTCGTATTATTCTGATCAGGAATCAGTCAAGTAGTGTGAATTCTAGAACAGTAGAATAAAGCCAAAGCGACGAAGGGCTGTTCTGTATTATACTCTACTTTTGAATGTTATTGTTCCCAAAGTTAGGGCTGTGATGGTCATGCAATTTTGGGAGACTGTTATTTGTCAACCAAATGACCATGGTCACTGTCAATGTTGCCTGTCATTTTTTTCGTCTCTGAGCAAATTTCAGGTCTGCTGAGCGCAAGCTTGAACGTTGTGAAAATTCTGTGCAACTTCCAGCGCGCGTTTACTGTGACCATTGAGGCTGTACCCGCTTTAAGTTACAGTTTTACCAGTGGCCAAGTAGGCTATTGTGGCTATTTTGATCATAATGTAGGCCTACCAGAGTGGCCTACAATAGAAAATGCATCCCATAACATTTTAACACGGTTATTGTATTTTGATGACGGTCGTCATCCATAATTGTCGGTTACACGAATATACAGTTGCCCTACCTAAAATGCTATTCTGCAAGGTTATTAAAATGCTTGAATGAAATTAATACATGAAAGTGAACAATGTTTAAGGATTTATTTAACATCCTGACTATTATGAGTTGGGTCTGAGTTGGCAACCTCAATGTTAAGTGAATTACGAGCAGACTAATTTTTTATTTATTTTTTATTTCACCTTTATTTAACCAGGTAAGCCAGTTGAGAACAGGTTCTCATTTACAACTGCGACCTGGCCAAGATAAAGCAAAGTAGTGCAATAAAAACAACACAGAGTTACATATGGGGTAAAAAACATAAAGTCAGAAATACAACAGAAAATATATATACAGTGTGTGCAAATGTAGCAAGTTATGGAGGTAAGGCAATAAATAGGCTATAGTGCAGAATAATTACAATAGTATTAACACTGGAATGCTAGATGTGCAAGAGATTATGTGCAAATAGAGATACTGGGGTGCAAAAGAGCAAAATAAATAACAATATAGGGATGAGGTAGTTGGGTGGGCTAATTTCAGATGGGCTGTGTACAGGTGCAGTGATCGGTAAGGTGCTCTGACAACTGATGCTTAAAGTTATTGAGGGAGATAAGAGTCTCCAGCTTCAGAGATTTTTGCAATTCGTTCCAGTCATTGGCAGCAGAGAACTGGAAGGAATGGCGGCCAAAGGAGGTGTTGGCTTTGGGAATGACCAGTGAGATACCTGCTGGAGCGCAGACTACGGGTGGGTGCTGCTATGGTGACCAATGAGCTAAGATAAGGCGGGGATTTGCCTAGCAGTGATTTAAAGATGGCCTGGAGCCAGTGGGTTTGACGACGAACATGTAGTAAGGACCAGCCAACAAGAGCGTACAGGTCACAGTGGTGGGTAGTGTATGGGGCTTTGGAGACAAAACGGATGGCACTGTGATAGACTACATCCAATTTGCTGAGTAGAGTGTTGGAGGCTATTTTGTAAATTACATCGCCGAAGTCAAGGATCGGTAGGATAGTCAGTTTTACGAGGGCATGTTTGGCAGCATGAGTGAAGGAGGCTTTATTGCGAAATAGGAAGCCGATTCTAGATTTAACTTTGGATTGGAGATTCTTTATGTGAGTCTGGAAGTTGAGTTTACAGTCTAACCAGACACCTAGGTATTTGTAGTTGTCCACATACTCTAGGTCAGACCCTTCGAGAGTGGTGATTCTAGTCGGGTGGGCGGGTGCCAGCAGCGTTCGATTGAAAATGGAGCTAATGGAGCTATACACCTGCATACAAATGATACGGAGTGAATGTACTCTTGGCCCACTTCATTTAAGTGCAGTTGATTTGATTTATGCTTTACTCCAAGTCTCCAATACAAATGATTTGAGCATGTTTAATTTGTGTAAATTATTACCTGTGGTTTCTTACTACCACAGGAGTCACTATTAGCCTGTTATTGTGTTATTGTAAAATATATACAACACATAGTCTTGAAAGGTGCTACTTTTAGTTATGTTTTGTCTACCTGTGCAACTTGTAGTAGCAGCAGTAGTAGCAGCAGTAGCAGTAGTAGTAGTATTAGCAGTAGTAGTAGTATTAGCAGTAGTAGCAGTAGTAGTATTAGCAGTATTAGCAGTAGTAGTATTAGCAGTAGTAGCAGTAGTAGTAGTAGTAGCAGTAGTAGTAGTTAGTTTATTGTTCATGATGGGAAATGTATTGATTCATTAATATGCGTCTTATATCACATGCACACTTTGTCATAACACCTTCCTTTTCTCGCCTTCCTCTCATATCTCTCTCCCTCCTCTCTCTCCCTCCCTCTCGCTCACTCTCCCCACAGAGGAGGGCTACGAACAGTTCCGCGTGGCAGAGAAGTCCCATGGTAACTGGGTGAAGCTGGTGGTGGAGGGCAACACGTCAGAGGTGCTGACCAACATGGGGAAGAAGGTGCTCAAGCAATACCTGGAGGCCCTCAGGGCCATGAGCGCAGCCCTCAGCAAGCAGCTGGGCAAATACGACATGTATTCCATGGTGGTGGGCATGGTCCTCGTCTTCCAGGTGGGTAGTGGGGTGTTGCCCCTAGATGCTTGTCAGTTTGGCATTTTCCTTACGAATGGCTAAGGTTAGGATTGAGGGGAACCTGATCCTAGATCTGTACCCAGGGGAAACTGCACCCCGGAGCAGGGAGTGGGCCAAGGATCAGGGGCAGGAACTTACACAATGAGGGTGGTGGTGGTGGTGGTGGTGGTGGTGATGATGATGATGATGATGATGGTGATGTAGTGGGTAATATCTTGTATATATACCTCACATGCGACCCGTAATAACACTATGCAATTTGTATATTAATAAAGTCTATTAAAATATTATCTGACTAGCAATGTGCAAGCAGGACTGTTGTTGAGTTACAGGAAAATACTATCAAGAAATTGTCTAGGAGCTTCCAATCTGATATCAGACCTAAAGGATGTCATCACAACAGCTACCCAGAGGTGTGACAGAATGGGAGTTGTTGAGAGCAACACAGACAATTCAGTATTCCTGAGAAACACAATAGAATCCTTGAATACGGTGTTGTCAGAGTCATGTCTGGGGCTGGGCCCATCATCATGATGAGGAACACTTTTCTACATTATTCTTACACCATCCCATGCATATATACAGTTTGTGACCATGGTGGGATATTGCTGATGGTTTATATATTTAATGGTATTAGCCTAAATAAGCACTTAGCATTCTAAACTGTTGTGATGTGGTACAAACATCCATAAAGATCCCACATCCAAATATGAGCATTTTAAGATGCCAATTCTGCTCCTGAAGAGACCCACAATCTAGACTAGGCATACTCATAGAACGCAATCAATATTAATGAAAAAAATGTTGATATAAGGCTTGACTTTATTAAAGCCCATGGTTTACATAGACTTTACAGAGTGTTGAAATAGCCTTCAATTATAAAAATGACCTTGAGCTAGTGTGAGAAGAATTCGACAGTTGGAACAGATCTCTACTGCTCTTTGTTGAGCAAGCATTTCTCAAAGTAAACTTTTTCTGGGGCCGAAGGGGCTCGCAGTAACTGCACAACTTTACAACATTCCTTGGCTTGTACAACGAATCTACCATGTGAACGATATTGGATGGGGCAATTCCCCTGCGTTCCCTTCAAAACAAAGCTAAATCTGCCGTGCTGACTGTTGCAGTCAAAACTAATGTTCATTTCAATGTGTTTTGATCATTTCATCTTGGAGAAGAGGCAAAAAGTTCATTTGGCGGTAAAAGCGGAAACAATCACAGAACGTGTTGGCATATGCTCACTTAAGTTCGTTGTGTAAGGGTTTGACTTAACGTAGGACTGTTTTGGATCATTGGTAGAGCTGAGATATTTACTTATTGTTTTTATAGAATATACAGTATGTTATAACCTCATGGGTTTAGAATAGGGCTTGAACTGCCAGAAACTTCACGATATTATCACCATACTTAGGTGTCGATACGATAATGTATTGCGATTCTCACGATTCTAAATGTATTGCCATTCGATATTGCGATTTGATGTTCCCAACATATTGCTCACCATATGTCTGCTGCAGAGATCCATGAGAAAACAAGTTTTGATCAGTCATGGAGATAAAAGTCCTGAAAACATGTTGGCTCACTCTTTAAAAAGAAGATGGAGAACAAGCTATAGGATGAAAAATACCAGAGTTTTGGCGCAGGTACAGCCGCCTAGCGCTAGCTTTTACAAATCAATATTTTGAGTCAAAGTATCGATATAATATCGTCCAAAATAATATTGCGATATGTAACTATATACTTTTTTAACGCTTTCATCCGCTTTTAGAATTTGCTTAACAACAGTAAATACTATACTCACAAGTCATTATTCCAGTTTGTTTGTTTGTTTGTTTGTTTTTTCCATTTGAATTCACCGGCTTTGCTGTCATGCTCACGCTTTTAGACTGTTTCCCTACAAGTTATTTATTTCTTATCAGAGATAAAATGCTAATTCCAGCATGACATGGAATGCTCTGTATAGACTCCCCAGTGAGCATTATTGGGAGCTGTGGGGAAAGTTGACAAAAATATCCCAAACTCTGAATAGAAACTAAGAAGTGTCCCTCAGAGGTGACTGCCTCCCATCAGGAAAAAATAAGTGAAAGATGTGAAGAGAGAGAAAAGAGGCTGTTTTCAAAAGAAAAAGTTGGACTTGTCAGCATTTTGTCACAGTCAATACTCAAGGACAAAGCAACTAGTCATCTTTCCAGTGCACCGTCCCTGATAGATTTAGTCAGTTGAGAGGTGAAGAGAAAGGGAACTACGTAAGCAAAGGACATGGAACACGTGTCTCTCTGGTGTTTACTTTGAAAAGAAAGAGCTTGCATATTTACTTCCAAGATGGCACATTCAAAGGTTCCAGTTGAAAGACTTCAGTCAAGCCAAATGCAAATATGGAGAAGCACACAAATGACTCTAGCTTTGACGCAATCCAAGCCACATCCACCACGGATCGACAAATGTCTGTTCTCTGTACCCACATGCTCTACGTGCGGTCCCTTGACTCCAGTGTTACCTCATAGCTTGCCCATCTATCCATCCATCTCTTTCTATCTGCTGTTTCCTTTACTGTTTGACTCATACAACAGTTGCAACGACAGAGATGAGCTTGGTCTGTCCGGTGCTGGTGCTGTATGTGCATGCATATGTGAACACACCATGTGAGTCTGTTTTTACTTAATTCCATGATTTACTGAGTGTGTGCATTCCTTGTTCTCTCTCCAGCTCCTTCTCCTCCTGCTGCTGGCCATGCCCGAGGCACTGAGCAGCGCCTCAGAGGTGGATCTCCCTGTGTCCTCTGCGCTGCTCTCGCTTCCCTTCTACCTGCTGTGCCTGCTCCTCTCCTCCGTGCACGTGCTGGTGTGCACGTCGGCCGAGAGCTCCTGTTACTTCTGCAGCCTCTCCTGGGGCCTGGTGTTCGGGGCAGTGGCCCTCTCCTCAGCCCTGCTCTGCATCCTGATCTCTATGGCAGCCAGGAGGGGAGCAAAGCCCCCTGGGAAGGTGAGTCATCTTGTGAAGACTGGTCATACTTTACGCTGTTTTCCTTGTGTGTATTAAAAACAACCTAGTAGTTAATGGTAGTAGTTACATTTTGGGTTCTTTTGAAGTAATTGAAACAAGCACCTCTTAACCATTTCATAACAGCGTATCGTAACAGTGTCTTTCACTTACATTTCTCTTACATTTAAATTAGACCACTTTCGGGTCTGAAAACGTGCATTGTCTTCTCTGACCCTCCCCAACCATAGCAGCCTATTCCCTGCCTTCGGCATTACATTTACATTTACGTCATTTAGCAGACGCTCTTATCCAGAGCGACTTACAAATTGGTGCATTCACCTTATCATCATTGCAAAACAAGAGCATGTTGATAAAAAAGGCACCCATTGAGACAAAAGGTCTTCGAAATTACACTGGCCTTTCTTTGTAATGACTTATTTCTGTCCCTGCAAGTCTTACTTATGAAACCAGTGGACCAAACAGTTTTTTATTTATTTAAAAATGGCACCTCGAGCATTCAACAAAAAGAGAGAGTTCATTTGCCCTTTCTAGATAAAGGCAGAACAAGTTTTAAAGACAAACCTGTTTTTTTCTCCATCTAATGAGATTAGAAAGTCACCAGTGTCACCAAGCTTTCTTAATTACAGTATGTCTGAAGAAGTGGCCTCTTCTGTCTCCCTTCTGGGAACTAACAGAAAGTGCTGACAGAGGAAAAGAACGGCGAGAGAGAGAAAAGGGGTTTTCGATCGTAAGGCTCATAAGTGAGTCTGTTACAGAGAAAAAACTAGTCCTTCTCATGCATCTAAATAAAGAGCTGGAGGGAAGATCTCATCTTGTTTGTTGAGGTTGAGGTTGTGTTGTGCAGTGGAACATAACGAGTCTGACATGCATTGATCACTGCAGTTATGTTCTCTCCATACAGTCTGACATGCATTGATCACTGCAGTTATGTTCTTCTCTCCATAGAGTATGAGTCTTGTTTATGTTATTTGGGGTTAGGGTTGCCTAACCAGATGTCAGAAGCACTTTTTTAACGTTTGAAATCTTTTGCTAAGAGGACATCTTGTGTGTTGGGCTCTCCTTTAGCTGGATGATGTGTCCAATGATGCTGTCTGTGTCCAAGAGACCATCACATACTGGAGCTATGTACTAACAATGACAATGTTTCTACTTCAACTGATTATATATAATATTGTGTTTTGTTGATGGTGGTGGAAAACGCTGTCTCACACGCTGCTCCAGAATCTCCCATAAGTGTTCATTTGGGTTGAGAGCTGATGACTGAGAGACACAGACACATACTTTAAACCCCCTATGCTCCTTTGAGATCCCTCTTTCAAAGTCACTGAGATCTAGCCATGGTAGCCAAAATAATGGTCAACTGGGCGTTTTTATACAGCACCCTAAGCATGTTAATTGCTTAATTAACTCAGGAACCACACCTGTGTGGAAGCATCTGCTTTCAATATACTTTGTATCCCTCATTTACTCAAGTGTTTCCTTTATTATGGCAGTTACCTTTAGGTCATACTGTATATCAATGTTTCCCATCTCCGGTCCTCCAGTACCCCCAACAGCCCAACTCCGGTCCTCCAGTACCCCCAACAGCCCATCTCCGGTCCTCCAGTACCCCCAACAGCCCATCTCCAGTCCTCCAGTACCCCCAACAACCCAACTCCGGTCCTCCAGTACCCCCAACAGCCCATCTCCGGTCCTCCAGTACCCCCAACAGCCCAACTCCGGTCCTCCAGTACCCCCAACAGCCCAACTCCGGTCCTCCAGTACCCCCAACAGCCCAACTCCGGTCCTCCAGTATCCCCAACAGCCCATCTCCAGTCCTCCAGTACCCCCAACAACCCATCTTCCAGTACCACCAACAGCCCAACTCCGGTACCCCCAACAACCCATCTCCAGTCCTCCCGTACACCCAACAGCCCATCTCCAGTCCTCCCGTATCCCCAACAACCCATCTCCAGTCCTCCAGTACCCACAACAACCCATCTCCAGTCCTCCAGTACCCCCAACAACCCATCTCCAGTCCTCCAGTACCCCCAACAGCCCATCTCCAGTCCTCCAGTACCCCCAACAGCCCACAATTTTGCCCTGGACAAAAACAACCGATTCAACTTGTCAAAGGCTTGATGATTATTTGACAAGTAGAATCAGGTGTGCTTGTCCAGGGCCAAAACAAAAAGAGAAACACTGCTGTATATTATAGGAAGTTTGATTGAACACAGAATGTTCATAATTTACTCAAATTATTCTGTGTTAAACACCTTTATTCTCAATACCTCACTTTGGGAATTAATATCTGATGCCGCCTGATCAATTTGTTTTGTCATCCTGATTAAAGACCGAGTTCACTCTCCGTTCTTTCAATCATCGTACACTACATGACCAAAAGTATGTGGACACCTGCTCATTGAATATCTCATTCCAAAATCATGGGCATTAATATGCAGTTGGTCCCCTCATTTGCTGCTAAAACAGCCTCCACTCTTCTGGGAAGGCGTTCCACTAATGTTGGAACATTGCTGCAGGGTCTTGCTTCCATTCAGCCACGAGCATTAGTGAGGTTGGGCACTGGCTCGCAGTCAGCGTTCCAATTCATCCCAAAGGTGTTCAATGGGGTTGAGGTCAGGGCTCTGTGCAGGCCAGTCAAGTTCTTCCACACCGATCTCGAAAAAAACATTTCTGTGTGGACCTCGCTTTGTGCATGTAGGCATTGTCATACTGAAACAGGAAAGGGCCTTCCCCAAACTGTTGCAAGCACAGAATTGTCTAGAATGTCATTGTATGCTGTAGCGTTTAAATTTCTCTTCACTGGAACTAAGGAGCCTGAACCATGAAAACAGCCCCAGACCAGTTGGCACTATGCATTCAGGCAGGTAGCGTTCTCCAGGCATCCGCCAAACCCAGATTCGTGATGGTGAAGCGTGATTCATCACTTCAGAGAACACGTTTCCACTGCCCCAGAGTCCAATGGCAGCGAGCTTTACGCTATTCCAGCCGACCCTTGGCATTGCGCATGGTGATCTTAGGCTTGTGTGCAGCTGCTCGGCCATGGAAACCTATTTCATGAAGCTCCCGACAAACAGTTTTTGTGCTGATGTTGCTTCCAGAGGCAGTTTGGAACTCGGTAGTGAGTGTTGCAACTGAGGACAGACAATTTTTGCGCGACACGCTTCAGCACTCGGCGGTCCCGTTCTGCGTTTGACCCATTGTTGCTCCTAGACTTTTCCACTTCACAAAAACAGCACTTACAGTTGGCCGGGGCAGCTCTAGCAGGGCAGAAATGTGACAATCTGACTTGTTGGAAAGGTGGCATCCTATGACGGTGCCACATTGAAAGTCACTGAGCTCTTCAGTAAGGCCATTCTACTGCCAATGTTTGTCTATGGAGATTTCATGGCTGTGTGCTCGATTTTATACACCTGTCAGCAACCGGTGTGGCTGAAGTAGCCGAATCCACTCATTTGAAGTGGTGTCCACATAGTTTTGTATATATAGTGTATGTTTTGATTATTTGATTCATTCAATGCTCTCCCACTAGATGCATTAGCGCAGTCAATAATTAGAACATGCCTCATTCATATTGGAGTCCCGAAAAAGCATTAGCAGGAAATGATTTACATGGCTCGTTTGAACTTCACAAACAACTGACGGTAACAAAAAATTAAAATTGGCGGGGAACAAGGCATCGCTTCTGATAAGTTGACTTTGTGTCTGTCTCAGCATGCCGAAGGTGGGAGAGAAGGGAGCCTTGCGGGGTTCCTTTTCTGTGACAAACCCAGACGGTCTGGCAAAAAGGTAGAGATAAAGGCTGTTTCCCAAATGGCACTCTATTCCCTGTAATAGTGCCCTATGGACCCTGGTCAAAAGCAGTGCACTATATAGGGGATAGGGAGCCATTAAGGACTCAAGCAAAGACTTGTGTGACGGTGCATAAACACAAACTGCCCTCTGGATGATAAACACGTATTATGATCAAATGGGATCTCCAGCAGTGTGCCAGTCTGTTATTGGATTATAGATAAATAGATACAGTGCATTCGGAAAGTATTAAGACCCCTTGACTTTTTCCACATTTTGTGTTACAGCCTTATTCTAAAATGAATTAAATCAAACATTTTCCTCATCAATCTACACACAGAACCCCATATTGACAAAGCAAAAACAGGTTTTTATTACAAATAAAAAACAGATACCTTATTTACTTAAGTATTCAGACCCCTTGCTATGAGACTCGAAATTGAGCTCAAATCAAATCAAATGTTATTGGCCACATGCGCCGAATACAACAGGTGCAGACATTACAGTGAAATGCTTACTTACAGCCCTTAACCAACAGTGCATTTATTTTAAATAAAAAAAGTAAAATAAAACAACAACAAAAAAGTGTTGAGAAAAAAAGAGCAGAAGTAAAATAAAATAGTAGGGAGGCTATATATACAGGGGGGTACCGGTGCAGAGTCAATGTGCGGGGGCACCGGCTAGTTGAGGTAGTTGAAGTAATATGTACATGTAGGTAGAGTTAAAGTGACTATGCATAAATAATTAACAGAGTAGCAGCAGCGTAAAAAGATGGGGTGGGGGGTGGGGGGTGGGGGTGGGGGACAGTGCAAATAGTCCGGGTAGCCATGATTAGCTGTGTCTTATGGCTTGGGGGTAGAAGCTGTTGAGAAGTCTTTTGGACCTAGACTTGGCACTCCGGTACTGCTTGCCGTACGGTAGCAGAGAGAACAGTCTATGACTAGGGTGGCTGGAGTCTTTGACAATTTTGAGGGCCTTCCTCTGACACCGCCTAGTATAGAGGTCCTGGATGGCAGGAAGCTTGACCCCAGTGATGTACTGGGCCGTACGCACTACCCTCTGTAGTGCCTTGCGGTCGGAGGCCAAGCAGTTGCCATACCAGGCGGTGATGCAACCAGTCAGAATGCTCTCGATGGTGCAGCTGTAGAAGTTTTTGAGGATCTGAGGACCCATGCCAAATCTTTTCAGTCTCCTGAGGGGGAATAGGCTTTGTCGTGCCCTCTTCACGACTGTCTTGGTGTGTTTGGACCATGATAGTTCGTTGGTGATGTGTACACCAAGGAACTTGAAGCTCTCAACCTGTTCCATTACAGCCCCGTCGATGAGAATGGGGGCGTGCTCAGTCCTCTTTTTTTTCCCTGTAGTCCACAATCATCTCCTTTGTCTTGGTCACGTTGAGGGAGAGGTTGTTATCCTGGCACCACACGGCCAGGTCTCTGACCTCCTCCCTATAGGCTGTCTCATCGTTGTCGGTGATCAGGCCTACCACTGTGGTGTCGTCGGCAAACTTAATGATGGTGTTGGAGTCGTGCCTGGCCATGCAGTCATGGGTGAACAGGGAGTACAGGAGGGGACTGAGCACGCACCCCTGAGGGGCCCCTGTGTAGAGGATCAGTGTGGCAGATGTGTTGTTACCTACCCTTGCTCAGGTGCATCCTGTTTCCATTGATCATCCTTGAGATGTTTCTACAACTTGATTGGAGTCCAGCAGTGGTAAATTCAATTGATTGGACATGATTTGGGAAGGCACACATCTGTCTATATGAGGTCCCACAGTTGACAATGCATGTCAGAGCAAAAACCAAGCCAAGAGGTCGAAGTAATTGTCTGTAGAGCTCCGAGACAGGATTGTGTCGAGGCACAGATCTGGGGAATGGTACCAAAAAATGTCTTCAGCATTGAAGGTCCCCAAGAACACAGTGGCCTCCATGATTCTTAAATGGAACCACCAAGACTCTTCCTAGAGCTGGCCGCCCGGCCAAACTGAGCAATCGGGGGAGAAGGGCCTTGGTCAGGGAGGTGACCAAGAACCCGATGGTCCCTCTGACAGAGCTCCAGAGTTCCTCTGTGGAGATGAGAGAACCTTCCAGAAGGACAAACATCTCTGCAACAATCAGGCATTTATGGTAGTGGCCAGACAGAAGCCACTCCTCAGTAAAAGGCACATGACAGCCTGCTTGGAGTTTGCCAAAAGGCACCTAAAGACTCTCAGACCATGAGAAACAAAATTCTCTGGTCTGATGAAACCAAGATTGAACTCTTTGGCCTAAATGCGAAGCGTCACATCTGGAGGAAACCTGGCACCATCCCTACGGTGAAGCATGATGGTGGCAGCATAATGCTGTGGGTGTTATTTTCAGTGGCAGGGACTTGGTGACTAGTCAGGATCGAAGGAAAGATGAACGGAGCAAAGTACAGAGAGATCCTTGATGAAAACCTGCTCCAGAGTGCTCAAGACATCAGACTGGGGCGAATGTTCACCTTCCAACAGGACAACGACCCTAAGCACACAGCCAAGACAACGCAGGAGTGGCTTCGGGACAAGTCTCTGAATGTATTTGAGTGGCCCAGCCAGAGTCCGGACATGAACCCGATTCGAACATCTCTGGAGCGACACTCCCCATCCAACCTGACAGCTTGAGAGGATCTGTAGAGAAGATTGGGAGAAACTCCCCAAATACAGGTGTGCTAAGCTTGTAGCGTCATACCCAAGAAGACTCGTGGCTGTAATCGCTGCCAAAGGTGCTTCAACCTGTTTTTGCTTTGTCATTATGGGATATTGTGTGTAGATTAATAAGGGGGGGGAAAAAACAATTTCATCCATTTTAGAATATGGCTGTAACATAAAAAATGTGGAAAAAGTCAAGGAGTCTGAATACTTTCCGAATGCACTGTACATACACTGAGGATACAAAACATTAGGAACCCCTGCTTTTTCCATGACATAGACTGACCAGGTGAAAGCTATGATCCCTTATTGATGTCACTTGTTAAACACACTTCAATCAGTGTAGATTAATGGAGGAAACAGGTTAAAGAAGGATTTTTAAGCCTTGAGACAATTGAGACATAGATTGTGTATCAAATCAAATTGTATTTGTCACTTTTTTTAATTTTTTATATTATCTTTATTTAACTAGGCAAGTCAGTTAAGAACAAATTCTTATTTCCAATGACGGCCTAAACGGGCCAAACCCGGAGGACGCCTTCTGTCCTGCACACAACTGGATACATGGAAAGTGATCAATGCACCTTACATTTACACGTACACTACTGTTCAAAAGTTTGGGGTCACTTAGAAATGTCCTTGTTTCCGAAAGAAAAGCAATTTTTTTGTCCATTAAAATAACATGTATTTGTCCTCTTGCTCAGTTGTGCACTGGGGCCTCCCACTCCTCTTTCTATTCTGGTTAGAGCCAGTTTGCGCTGTTCTGTGAAGTCAGTAGTACACAGCGTTGTACAAGATCTTCAGTTTCTTGGCAATTTCTCGCATGGAATAGCCTTCATTTCTCAGAACAAGAATAGTCTGACGCGTTTGAGAAGAAAGTTATTTGTTTCTGGCCATTTTGATTCTGTAATCGAACCCACAATTGCTGATGCTCCAGATACTCAACTAGGCTCAAGAAGGCCAGTTTTATTGCTTCTTTAATCAGCACAACAGTTTTCAGCTGTGCTAACATAATTGCAAAAGGGTTTTCTAATGATCAATTAGCCTTTTTAAATGATAAACTTGGATTAGCAAACACAATGTGCCATTGGAACACAGGACTGATGGTTGCTGATAATGGGTCTCTGTACGCCTATTTAGATATTCCATTAAACATCAGCCGTTTCCAGCTACAATAGCCATTTACAACATTAACAATGTCTACACTGTATTTCTGATCAATTTTATGTTATTTTGATGGATAAAAAAAATAGCTTTTCTTTCGAAAACAAGGACATTTCTAAGTGACCCCAAACTTTTGAACGGTAGTGTACTTTTGGAGGGAGAGTGAGAGACGGAAAATGAATACTATAATGCAGAAAGTCAATAGATTTCAACAGTCAGTCAATAGATCTACTTTTGTGAGCTTGCCTTTTGACATTATTAAGATGTTTGCCCTGAAGCACAGTACACACACTCTGTCCCTGTGCACTTACTTACTCTGTCAGGCTCTCCCTGAGTACTGAGTCAACAACAAGATGGAGTTCACAGGACCAGGGGAAGTACTTTACAACTCAGTATGGGGCGAAAACACAAACACACACACACTCAGGGTCACACACTCACACTCACTCGTAGTCCTAGAATAGAAAAATACTCTCTTAGTTGCAGTAGTTTTTTGCTTTCTAACAGCTCAGGGCAGGGTTTTGGGGATGGCATCCAAATGCCTTCTCTTTATAGGTTGTGGCGTCTGTGTTCCTGATATGTTATTGTGTTAGAGGGACCTTGTCTATACCATCTCAGTCTCCATTCACTTGTGTTACTCTATAAAGGTTTATAACTAGAATATGGATCTGATTTTAATTACATCATTTATCTTGATCATTTTGGCAAGTTTGGGTTACTCTGTATTAATTGTATCGCTTTGATGTGAAGTCATCTCTATTCTGTTTCCTTTCTTAATTTGGCCAATGTGTTTATGTTTAATTAGTTGTGTTTAGTATAGGCCTGTGAGCATAATGTGATATTCTGTCTTTCTTTCCTTATCTCCCTTCCTCCATTCCTCTCTCCTTTCCTCTTCTTCCCCTAGTCTCCATCCCATGGTGGTGTCCGCGGTTGGTGGTCTCTGTCGGAGCTGGACGTTCTACTCCTGGCGGGCACGGCTGGCCACACCCTCAGCCTGTCGGCCAGCAGCTTCGTGGAGGAGGAGCACCAGGTCTGGTACTTTCTGCTCAACACCCTCTGCCTGGTCGTCTTCCAAGACGTCTGTCGCAAGTACTTCCGGGAGCACCGTGCTAACATTGGGAGCTTGGAGGGCGAAGACTACCTCCTCCCCTCTAATGAGGGGGACGCGGTTGCCTCACCGTTGGCTGATTTGGGGGTGACGGACGCGGGTTCGGAGAGGTGGCTGGCCCTGGCGACCCCGCCGCTCACCCTGGCGTGTTGTCGTCTGCTGCGCTCGCTCAACCAGACCGGGGTGCAGTGGGCTCACCTGCCTGACCTGGGACACTGGCTCAACAGGTGGGTATGCTGAAGTTTGATACTATGTATTGTTGTGTTGTGTGTTACTTCACTCAGGATGAATGTTGCCATAAGCAGAGCTCCATACAATACTATATAGTGCTAGTTGAATATATTACATTTTCTTCATTTGAAGCAGTCTTTTTTAGTTTGCTTTTTGCCAGTTCAGATCCTTTGGCCAATTAATTACAATTCTGGGTACACACTCCAAACACTTTGCACCCCACTGCTTTGTAAGGCCATCGTCAGTTTACATCCCTGTTAGTGAGCATTTCTCCTTGGCCAAGATCATCCATCCACCTGACAGGTGTGGCATATCAAGAAGCTGATTAAACAGCATGATCATTACACAGTTGCACCTTGTGCTGGGGACAAGAAAAGGCCACTAAAATGTTTTTTCACACAGCTCAATGCCACAGATGTCTCAAGTTTTGAGGGAGCGTGCAATTGGCATGCTGACTGCAGAAATGTCCACCAGAGCTGTCGCCAGAGAATTTAATGTTCATTTCTCTACCGTAAGCCGCCTCCAACTTCGTTTTAGAGAATTTGGGAATATGTCCAACCGGCTTCACAACCGTAGGCCACGTGTAACCACGCCAGCCCAGGACCTCCACATCCAGCTTCTTCACCTGCGGGATCGTCTGAGACCAGCAACTCGGACAGCTGATGAAACTGAGGAGTATTTCTGTCTGTAATAAAGCTCTTTTGTGGGGAAAAACGTATTCTGATTGGCTGGGTCTGGCTCCCCAGTGGGTGGTCCTTGCTCCCAAGTGGGTGGGCCTATGCCATCCAAGGCCCCTGCCCAGTCATGTGAAATCCATAGATTAGGGCCTAATGAATTTATTTCAATTGACTGATTTCCTTATATGAACTGTGACTCAGTAAAATCATTGAAATTGTTGCATGCATTTATATTTTTGTTCAGTATATAAAAGAAACAGCTCATGGTAGCTAATACTGTTCCATAGGATTCAACCTGGTCTTAGTCTGCCCGAGACAGCTCCTCATCTGATCCTTGTTTCCAACATGATTTCTCTCCTTTCTGTTAGACCTATGGTCATTTTCATCTGGTTGTCTTAGCTGCATCTTACTCACTCCCTCAGGAATCAGGTTAACGTGCTTCATTGTCTAGCCATGTATTGTATCCACTCAGTCATTCTTCCTCCTTGGAGCTCCCTCAAGGCTGCAGGACCGCCACACAGACAGATGGCTAGTCCGGGCTGGTCTCCCAGTCTGAACCAGGGCCCATTCCACCCCATTAGATCTGTGCTCTGGCCAAGATTTTGTCCACATGCTTATGTAACTTAGTGGTAAACACCCAGGAAACGTACATTTGATGTATATGGTCAACCCTGGAATGACTCTTCAGGTTATGTCTTAATGGTCCAATGCAGCCGTTTTTATCTCAATATCAAATCTGAAGTACCTTACTGTGATTGTTTTCAATTAAATGGTCAAAAATAAACAAAAATAGCTTCTTAACAACAGCTATTTTAGCATTTGTCTTAGTTTTAGTCTTAAAATATCTTCTAGTCTTTGTCACATTTTAGTCATTTCATCCTTCGTTAGCTTTAGTCGACTAAAACTCAATTTTAGTCTAGTTTATCGTCCTTGCTGTGGATGGCCCTTTAGTCACAGTCATTTTAGTCACATAATAGTCAGTGCATTTTTTTGTCAGGCAGGCAAAAACTCCATCCCACCAAAACAGGCTGAAACTTCAGGCGGTCTTTTCAAACAGCTTTTGCACTAAAAGGCATTATCATAATTTTCACAATTTATTTTATTCCAACCTCATAGTATGGAAATATATATAAAACACAGGAAAAGCACATGTTTGACTGCACTGGGCCTTTAAACAGCTACAACTAGTGAAGTTTTAGCTTGCCAGAAAACATAGGAGATCATTACCAAGCTTCTTTGTAGTGTTGCCCTGGTAAAGCAGTCCTTAGGGCTCTTTAGTCATAAGGTGATCATACTGTACATGGTTATGACAAGTCTTATAATGCATTATGACAACATCATAATGCCTTATACTCATGGTCTCTGAGTAACGTGTTAGGAACGCTGACATTCAAAAGTGTGGCTCTTAAAAAGTGGGTGAGCTTCTGAACATACAGAAGACTTGGTGAACCCCCCAGTACCTTGGTAAAGGACCTAGGCTAATGAATGAAAGAACATTTGTTGTTTAGACCAAGAGAAAATGCATGGAGTGTTATCCATTAGCGCCTGTGCCTGTTACCTTACCTTATTATCTCTGCAGCACCATAATGGTGGCTAGTTTCCTCACATCAAGGTTATAAATAAAAGTGGAGTAACTCCCATAGGAGCTAAAAGCAATGAGTCATATCCTTGGCTGTCTCTGGAAGTAGCATTAGTCTATTCCTTTCTATTGTATGTTGAAAGCCTCTCTCCGACTGCCCTGTAATTCTTCAGTGAAAAAAGCTCAAGGCAGATTTTAGGGCCAAGATAACAAGCCTAAATAACCTCAGAATCCGAGCCCAAATCAGATTATCAACGAGCCGCCATACACTCGGATTCTCTGAAAGATGTACAAAAAAACTTCTGTCTGGCAGAAAGTTTGAGGAACCATCAGCGAACCCGCTGTTCTCATTGTTGAACCCAAGGTTTTTCTGTCCATTAGCGTTCTCACAGCTCCACAAGTAACAAGATGAATGCCTTGCGCTGAAGGGCACTGGGTTCAGCGTTTGTGGAATTAGAATTTCCTTCCCACCGTCATTAGCTGACCTTTTTCCTGTCTGGCGCTGCCCCCTTTTCCCATATTCCCCCCTGCTCTATGCTGTGTGGGTAATGACTCCGGCATCGTTCCTCCTTCATGTACCCCCAAGGTGCCTGTCTGTTCCCCTTACTATCCCAACCCCCTGCCCTGATACCAGGGCTATACTGTCCTTCTGGCGTACCTGGGCTGCATCTCAATAGTCAAACGTGGCTTCTTCTTCCTTGTCTCTTCTCTTTCAACTGCAGTGATATGAATGCAAAGAAGGTTACATGAAAGCACAAAAGTAGATACTTACTGGGAAGTTGCTATCACCAGTCCAGTTCTTTCTCATCAGGGTAGATAATGTGGAGGAAAGAAAGTTCCTTCAAGCTATTGTACTCTCTTACTCTATTGCTTCCCTGAGATGTTCTCTTCTTACCTGAGATGTTCTCTTCTTACCTGAGATGTTCTCTTCTTCCCTGAGATGTTCTCTTCTTACCTGAGATGTTCTCTTCTTCCCTGAGATGTTCTTTTCTTCCCTGAGATGTTCTCTTCTGTCCTTGAGATGTTCTCTTCTGTCCCTGAGATGTTCTCTTCTGTCCCTGAGATGTTCTCTTCGGTCCCTGAGATGTTCTCTTCGGTCCATGAGATGTTCTCTTCGGTCCCTGAGATGTTCTCTTCGGTCCATGAGATGTTCTCTTCGGTCCCTTAGATGTTCTCTTCTTCCCTGAGATGTTCTCTTCGGTCCCTGAGATGTTCTCTTCGGTCCCTGAGATGTTCTCTTCAGTCCCTGAGATGTTCTCTTCTTACCTGAGATGTTCTCTTCGGTCCCTGAGATGTTCTCTTTGGTCCCTGAGATGTTCTCTTTGGTCCCTGAGATGTTCTCTTTGGTCCCTGAGATGTTCTCTTTGGTCCCTGAGATGTTCTCTTTGGTCCCTGAGATGTTCTCTTTGGTCCCTGAGATGTTCTCTTTGGTCCCTGAGATGTTCTCTTTGGTCCCTGAGATGTTCTCTTCGGTCCCTGAGATGTTCTCTTTGGTCCCTGAGATGTTCTCTTCGGTCCCTGAGATGATCTCTTTGGTCCCTGAGATTATCTCTTCGGTCCCTGAGATGTTCTCTTCTTACCTGAGATGATCTCTTTGGTCCCTGAGATGATCTCTTCTTCCCTGAGATGTTCTCTTCTTACCTGAGATGTTATCTTTATACCTGAGATGTTCTCTTCTTACCTGGGATGTTCTGTTCTTACCTGAGATGTTCTCTTCGGTCCCTGAGATGTTCTCTTTGGTCCCTGAGATGTTCTCTTTGGTCCCTGAGATGTTCTCTTTGGTCCCTGAGATGTTCTCTTTGGTCCCTGAGATGTTCTCTTTGGTCCCTGAGATGTTCTCTTTGGTCCCTGAGATGTTCTCTTCGGTCCCTGAGATGATCTCTTCGGTCCCTGAGATGATCTCTTTGGTCCCTGAGATGTTCTCTTCGGTCCCTGAGATGATCTCTTTGGTCCCTGAGATGATCTCTTTGGTCCCTGAGATGATCTCTTCAGTCCCTGAGATGTTCTCTTCTTACCTGAGATGATCTCTTTGGTCCCTGAGATGATCTCTTCTTCCCTGAGATGTTCTCTTCTTACCTGAGATGTTATCTTTATACCTGAGATGTTCTCTTCTTACCTGAGATGTTCTTCTTACCTGAGATGTTCTCTTTGGTCCCTGAGATGTTCTCTTTGGTCCCTGAGATGTTCTCTTTGGTCCCTGAGATGTTCTCTTCGGTCCCTGAGATGATGTCTTCGGTCCCTGAGATGATCTCTTTGGTCCCTGAGATGATCTCTTTGGTCCCTGAGATGATCTCTTCGGTCCCTGAGATGTTCTCTTCTTACCTGAGATGATCTCTTCGGTCCCTGAGATGATCTCTTCTTCCCTGAGATGTTCTCTTCTTACCTGAGATGTTATCTTTATACCTGAGATGTTCTCTTCTTACCTGGGATGTTCTGTTCTTACCTGAGATGTTCTTCTTACCTGAGATGTTCTCTTTGGTCCCTGAGATGTTCTCTTCGGTCCCTGAGATGTTCTCTTCGGTCCCTGAGATGTTCTCTTCGGTCCCTGAGATGATCTCTTCGGTCCCTGAGATGTTCTCTTCTTACCTGAGATGTTATCTTTATACCTGAGATGTTCTCTTCTTACCTGGGATGTTCTGTTCTTACCTGAGATGTTCTTCTTACCTGAGATGTTCTCTTTGGTCCCTGAGATGTTCTCTTCGGTCCCTGAGATGTTCTCTTCGGTCCCTGAGATGTTCTCTTCGGTCCCTGAGATGATCTCTTCGGTCCCTGAGATGTTCTCTTCGGTCCCTGAGATGATCTCTTCGGTCCCTGAGATGATCTCTTCGGTCCCTGAGATGATCTCTTTGGTCCCTGAGATGATCTCTTTGGTCCCTGAGATGATCTCTTTGGTCCCTGAGATGTTCTCTTCTTACCTGAGATGATCTCTTTGGTCCCTGAGATGATCTCTTCTTCCCTGAGATGTTCTCTTCTTACCTGAGATGTTCTCTTTATATCTGAGATGTTCTCTTCTTACCTGGGATGTTCTGTTCTTACCTGAGATGTTCTTCTTACCTGAGATGTTCTCTTCGGCCCCTGAGATGTTCTCTTCTTCTCTGAGATGTTACCTGAGATGTTCTCATCTTGTGTATTCTCAACTTGTTTTGGATTAATTGCCCTACTGCTTAAAATGAACATTCCACAGGTGCGTTAAGACCAGTAATATGTAGCCGACACAGCTTTACACCAGCTGTCTTGCAGGTGTGTAATCTACCACATTACTGTAATAAAAGTGTAAACCTTGTGCCAAGGACTTCCTCTCTTTTCCACTAGCTCTGCCTACGTACAGAACAGTGGGACCTGAGTACAGTAAATGGGGGATGGGGGTGGGTGGGGGTATTTTGTACACTCAGTATATGTGGTCATTTTTTGATATACAGGGTAAAGTTGATCATTTCATAATTAGGACAGCAATCACTTTTGCTACCCGTACTGCAGGAAAGGAAGATAATATCACTCCAAGTCAGTCATAACTTCAAAACGGTCTAAATAACCATTAGAGTATGAGACAGCACTTACACACTAATGACTCTAATTAATGTGTAATTAGTGCAGTTTGAAGTGGTTTAAATTAAGTGGTTTAAATGTTAATCTGTTCTGTTTCTATAGCTTGGAACACAAGATTGTGCTGTCCTTGTTGGCCGCCTTGTCATTGGCTCTGATCTACTTCCTGGTCCAGCGAAGATGTTCCTGGGTGTCCAAGATTGCCCTGGCCCTCGGCCTTCTGGGTGTCTACAGCTACCGGGCGGCGGTGGGCAATGTTGTGTTTCCATGGCAACATGGCGGTGGAAACATGTCCAAGTAAGTTTTCGCCGACTGAGTGTACCAAACATTATGAACACCTACTCTTTCAATGACATAGACTATCCAGATGAAGGCTATGATCCCGTATTGATGTCACTTGTTAAATCCATTTATATCAGTGTAGATAATAATAATAATAATAATAATAATAATAATAATATGCCGTTTAGCAGACGCTTTTATCCAAAGCGACTTACAGTCGACTTACAGTTTTTGTGTATGGGTGGTCCCGGGGATCGAACCCACTACCTTGGCGTTACAAGCGCCGTGCTCTACCAGCTGAGCTACAGAGGACCACATAGATGAAGGGGAGGAGACAGGTTAAAGAAGGATTTTTAAGCCTTGAGACAATTGAGACATTGTGTATGTGTGACATTCAGAGGGTGAATGGGCAAGACAAAAGATTTAAGTGACTTTAAACGGGGTATGATAGTAGGGGCCAGGCATCTGAAAAAATGTTGTGTTGTATTTGCCTGTGTTTTTCGAGCCATTTGATATGTGATTACATCAGTGCTCGTTAATGAAGGCTACACGTTAAGGCCTACATCAGCATAAAGTACACAGCAAGGCCACAGAGGAAGAAAGACTAGGGGAAAAAACTACCTTTCAACCCAAGGGGAAAACTGCTTTGAAACCCCTTATTGCTGTCTGATTAGAGATCATTGGACTCATGTCCTTAGCCTGGCCCTTTCTGTATCAAAGTGAATAATGGTCCAATCAGGGATGCTGATCGCTTTGATTACCCCTGTGCTTTTGATTTCTAATGAACGAATGTGGAGCTCCTTTGCCCTGCCACTTGGCTCAATCCCTCCCTCCCTCCCTCCCTCCCTCCCTCCCTCCCTCCCTCCCTCCCTCCCTATCACCAGCCAGCGAATCAACCTTTAGTACCCAGCCAGCTGCATCTTGTCCACAGCCCCGTTGACTGTGAGAGTTTAATGAGTGTTCAGGTGCTGCTGCCCAGTTATCCTGCCCCTCTTCCTCGTCTCTTACTAGACATGTTCCCTCCCCCTCCACGCTCTCCTTGACATTGTCTCTACTCCCACCTAATTAAAACTTTGACCTCTCACCCCTACCCACCCTTACCCCTCGTTGCACAGTACCAGGCGCACACCGTCACTCCGTATAATTGATAATGCCGCCGTGCCAAGTCACTGAGTCATTAATCACTGCGGGAAGTTGTTTATGCTGGCGCCGCAGCAACCTCCTGGCATTTCCATTAAGTTGGGTCCACAACAGCGGCGGCCCCGGCTCGTTCACTCGCAGCCAGGCTAATCTGGTAGCATGAGACCCCTTCATTCCTTTGTGGCTTATCACACTGACCTACATAGCAGAAAGAGTGTCTCCCACGCTGTCTCGTAATGATAGTTCAGGCTGATTTTTTTGTGTGTTTCGTAGGCCAAAGTCTAAAGGGCAATTGGGCTTGACTGACAGCAAAATAAATAGCAAATTTAGATATTTTTTTTTGGGGGGGGGGGATCTTGCTATAGCTCTCCAGGCAGTGTGTTTTTTCTCCCAATGACAACATAATCATCCTTCTCATTTCCTTAGCTTTAAAATCATGGAGAATCACCTGTGACATTTTATGGTCTTCACTGTATGTAGTTGGTAGGTACATATGTCGGATCTTAACTTGATCACTCTTTCGTCGCAGAGAATTTTCCTGCTGCATCAGGAAATTCGAATGAGCCTTGTGAGTCCCTGAAAAAGAACAGTTTTCGTTCTCTCATTGCAGGGGCAGTCGAGTCATTGGGATCAGGGCAAATGTTCTCTCTCGCTCGCTCAAACACTAGTCCTGCAACATTCAGATGTACAAAAATGTATCTGAAATGCAGCCGTACACTTCAACAACCGTTGTTTTATATAGCTTAATAGCACAAGATAGATATCGGTCTCCACTAGGCTATGACGTACAAGTGTCAAGTGTATGCCAAGGTCAACATTTTGTTCAATGGTTTTCTAGTGGTTAGGGCTGCTGCCTTCAGCGTGCACATATAGGCCTACCTTGTTGGCGTTGGTTCAATTCTTGCATACGCCCTTCTGGCACAAAAAACTCAATCCCCTCGATTTACTTGATATATTTACACATTTCAAATATGGACAATCCAGGGATATTTTACCCCCGATTTTGATAAGAAATTACCATACCAGACACTTTTGGATAACATAAATAGTAAACTAATCAAATAATAACAGTCAGTAGGGTAGGCTACACCAACATTAGTTTCCATTCATACAAATTATTGGGTAAATTGCCACATTAGATTTACCGTGGTAAACGATGAAATACTTTTATTTCTATTGTACGGAATGCTTGTCAAATTGAGAAATCGCCTTTTCAAAAAGGATTAAGTTCTTCCGATTACAATACCAACCAGAGGGTGAACGTATCTTGAAAGACTTTGGTTGCAAGCAGGACTAAGGTAACACCGACATCTTTTAGGGAGCCATGATGAGGTGACCAATAATGGTTGCAATTGAGATAATCTGTGCGGGGGAATGTAGCGCGTATCGATGGTTTGAGACATCAACTGGAGATAATCTAGTGCCATCGATGGTTGCAATAGGCCCCTTGTTATTTGTTTATATTCTGTAGGCTGTTTCCCTGATTGTGTTTCCCTGGCTGAGTTGATGAGCTGATTTGTGCCATCAGTTGATTGACAGATGTAGGCCTACTGTAGAACAATAAACTTTCCTCCAGTGTAGATGATCGTCCACATTTTCTAGTTAGGCTATGTATAATTTGTCAAAATAGTTCTGATCTTTGGTGTGGATTGAAAAGCCTGTGTATTGTGTGGCTTTAATATTTCATTTCATAAAGGTGTCAAGATGTTTATGCAGCCTATTCAAAGACCATTTAGTTGAACTGAGACACTTTTGTTTAAATGATCAGACTATTCGTTTTACTTCTTGAAAACATTGAAATAAATGCAATTAACTTGTGGGCATAACGTAGGCTTCGGCTATTTCAACCACACACGTTGCTGACAGTTACAGTGGGGAGAACAAGTATTTGATACACTGCCGATTTTGCAGGTTTTCCTACTTACAAAGCATGTAGAGGTCTGTAATTTTTATCATAGGTACACTTCAACTTTGAGAGACGGAGTCTAAAACAAAAATCCAGAAAATCACATTGTATGATTTTTAAGTAATTAATTTGCATTTTATTGCATGACATAAGTATTTGATCACCTACCAACCAGTAAGAATTCCGGCTCTCACAGACCTGTTAGTTTTTCTTTAAGAAGCCCTCCTGTTCTCCACTCATTACCTGTATTAACTGCACCTGTTTGAACTCGTTCCCTGTATAAAAGACACCTGTCCACACACTCAATCAAACAGACTCCAACCGCTCCACAATGGCCAAGACCAGAGAGCTGTGTAAGGACATCAGGGATACAATTGTAGACCTGCACAAGGCTGGGATGGGCTACAGGACAATAGGCAAGCAGCTTGGTGAGAAGGCAACAACTGTTGGCGCAATTATTAGCAAATGGAAGAAGTTCAAGATGACGGTCAATCACCCTCGGTCTGGGGCTCCATGCAAGATCTCACCTCGTGGGGCATCAATGATCATGAGGAAGGTGAGGGATCAACCCAGAACTACACGGCAGGACCTGGTCAATGACCTGAAGATAGCTGGAACCACAGTCTCAAAGAAAACCATTAGTAACACACTACGCCGTCATGGATTAAAATCCTGCAGCACACGCAAGGTCCCCCTGTTCAAGCCAGCGCATGTCCGGGCCCGTCTGAAGTTTGCCAATGACCATCTGGATGATCCAGAGTAGGAATGGGAGAAGGTCATGTGGTCTGATGAGACAAAAATAGAGCTTTTTGGTCTAAACTCCACTCGCCGTGTTTGGAGGAAGAAGAAGGATGAGTACAACCCCAAGAACACCATCCCAACCGTGAAGCATGGAGGTGGAAACATCATTCTTTGGGGATGCTTTTCTGCAAAGGGGACAGGGCGACTGCACCGTATTGAGGGGAGGATGGTTGGGGCCATGTATCGCGAGATCTTGGCCAACAACCTCCTTCCCTCAGTAAGAGCATTGGAGATGGGTCGTGGCTGGGTCTTCCAGCATGACAACGACACAAAACACACAACCAGGGCAACTAAGGAGTGGCTCCGTAAGAAGCATCTCAAGGTCCTGGAGTGGCCTAGCCAGTCTCCAGACCTGAACCCAATAGAAAATCTTTGGAGGGAGCTGAAAGTCCGTATTGCCCAGCAACAGCCCCGAAACCTGAAGGATCTGGAGAAGGTCTGTATGGAGGAGTGGGCCAAAATCCCTGCTGCAGTGTATGCAAACCTGGTCAAGACCTACAGGAAACGTATGATCTCTGTAATTGCAAACAAAGGTTTCTGTACCAAATATTAAGTTCTGCTTTTCTGATGTATCAAATACTTATGTCATGCAATAAAATGCAAATTAATTACTTAAAAATCATACAATGTGATTTTCTGGATTTTTGTTTTAGATTCCGTCTCTCACAGTTGAAGTGTAGCTATGATAAAAAGTACAGATCTCTACATGCTTTGAAAGTAGGAAAACCTGCGAAATCGGCAGTGTATCAAATACTTGTTCTCCCCACTGTATATAAAATCGAGCACACAGCCATGCAATCTCCATAGACAAACATTGGAAGTAGAATGGCCCATACTGAAGAGCTCAGTGACTTTCAACATGGCACCGTAATAGGATACCACCTTACCAAAAAGTCAGTTAATCAAATTTCTGCCCTGCTAGAGCTGCCCTGGTCAACTGTAAGTGCTGTTATTGTGAAGTGGAAACATCTAGGAGCAACAACGGCTCATCCACGAAGTGGTACTCCACACAAGCTCACAGAAGGAGACCGCCAAGTGCTGAAGCGTGTAGCACGTAAAAATCGTCTGTTCTCAGTTGCAACACTGACTACCGAGTTCCAAACTGCCTCTGGAAGCAACGTCGGCACAAGAACTGTTCGTCGGGAGCTTCATGAAATGGGTTTCCATGGCCGAGCAGCCACACACAAGCCTAAGATCACCATGCGCAATGCCAAGCGTCGGCTGGAGTGGCGTAAAGCTCGCCGCCATTGGACTCTGGAGCAGTGGAAACACGTTCTCTGGAGTGATGAATCACGCTTTACCATCTGGCAGTTCAACGGAAGAATCTGGGTTTGGCGGATGCCAGGAGAACGCTACCTGCCCGAATGCATAGTGCCAACTGTAGAGTTTGGTGGAGAAGGACTAATGGTCTGGGGCTTTTTTTCATGGTTTGGGCTCGGCCCCTTTAGTTCCAGTGAAGGGAAATCTTAACGCTACAGCATACATTGACATTCTAGACGATTCTGTGCTTCCAACTTTGGGGAAGGTTCTTTCCTGTTTCAGCATGACAATGACCCTGAAGTCCATACAGAAATTGTTTGTCGAGATCGGTGTGGAAGAACTTGACTGGCCTGCACAGAGCCCTGACCTCAACCCCATCTAACAACTTTGGGATGAATTGGAACGCCGACTGCGAACCAGGCCTATTCGCCCAACATCAGTGCCCAACCTCACTAATGCTCTTGTGGCTGAATGGAAGCAAGTCCCCACAGAAATGTTCCAATATCTAGTGGAAAGCCTTCCCAGAAGAGTGGAGGCTGTTATAGCAGCAAAGGGGGACCAACTCCATATTAATGCTCATGATTTTTAAATGAGATGCAATACTTTTGGTCATGTATTGTACATAGGCGCATCATTTTTTATAATTTTATTTGAAGCCTTCCCCAAACCAAAGCCCTAACCTTAACCACTCGGAATTAATGCCTAAACTGTTGACCTTTGAGTTGTTTCTGTTTTATCCCTGTAAATTCAAAGGGCACTGGGCCGGATTCGAACTCATGCCGGCTCTGGCATATGTGTGCCGGGGTCAGTGGC